TCAGGCTGATCCAATGATCTGACATGGACCCAGTTATCGACCATGTATTACTCTGTGCGGCGGCTATCCACCAACTAACTTAAATACTTACGACAAATAAACGGCTCTGAAGAAGGCGAAACCGCCGAAACGTCAGCAATTGTGTTCTAATAAATTCTATATTAACAACCTCGTGTCTGCTTATTGATGAAGAACGAATATTGATGAGACTGACAACATAACGATGGTACTAAGCAGGTGCCAAGTTGACGCAATCTTGTTATCTTACAATACTAATTTCTGTTTGGACTTGTCATTAGGTAATTCTCACCTTCACCAATTTCTTACTTCAACAGGAACCGACTTTCCATTGGAAAAGTGTACGGTGTACAAAAGTCCTTAAGCTGGTTTTGGAGTGAGAAATCAGAATGAGAGCGATAGCTTTTTTGATTCTTTATCTTTCGTCACAACTATGTTTTCATTCTGTCGTTAAAAGTGCGAGGAATAGATTTGCAGAAGCACTTTTCTTTTTTCCAAATATTTACGTGATGCGTGTAAAACGCCATGAAGCTTGACACACTGGTGGTATCGAGCTGATGATGGTGTGTTTTTTTGACAGTGAACCTGGAGACAACTTGGAGAGGTGAGATGGCTGGTTCTTTTGTGAGCCAAGAGTGAGCAACAGCTGGCTAGACCCCAGGATACCGCCGTCTAATGAAAGCGGTTTTTTTTCTAGAAAGGAAAATATACAGTCGAGCAAAACGTTTTTTTCCGTTGTTGTTCATCTATTGTTTATTATAGCTCGATGTATAACAACAACTGAATCTTTGTGAAGCGATAAGATGTAAAATAAAGTGAACTGAAATTAATAATGAAGCAAAAATGCTTGGATTGAAGGACTGAAAGAAGGACGAATTTTTGTGGGTACTTGATAGAACTGTACTTGTACTTTATTATTCTAGTGTGTAGTACGATCTCGTGGATTTGATTTTCTATGAATTGATCGCTGTCGCTTAAATGAATCAATGCTTTCGTGACATGTGCCATGAAGAAAATTCCAGTGAAGAATTTTTCTTGGAAGCTTAAGGTCTTTACACATGGTGGGAAACATCGCATTTATTAGGATAAACAAGATAACGCAACCAACGAAGAAATAACCCGCATTTTTTTTTGTCAAAAAATGTTACCGAGACTTTCATGGACGCGGTAAGTGCCTACTTTACAAGTTCAAATGCAATGAATAGTCACCCCAATCGAGCATACCAATAAACATCCTTTTTGATGGAAAACATATATACAGTTAGCTTGAACCACTCAAAAAGATAAATTAGGCAAAGGCGAACATAGTAATTCGGTAAGAGGCGGCTACCCTGAAGACAACATATCTACGGCGACTTATATTTTCAGTTGAGAGACAATAAGGTTATAAAAACTGTTAGCTTTGGATGATAGCACCAGATATAAGCTAACAAAAAATACAAAGGTTATAAAAAATCCATAGTTAAATATGAGAAAAATGGCTAGAATGAATAATCCCACCACTTATAATTGATTCGCAAAGTACGCATTCGTAGCAGGTTGTTTCGAATATTGGCACGAGGGATAGGAAGCCGAGGAGAACGCTTGAGAAGTATATGACGGATTCTGAATAGAGTAACTACTATAATAAGAGCAGGCTCCTGATTCACTATTCTCATATGGTGGTGACTGCTGTGAGACTTCAGAAGTCCAGTAAGATGGGTGCGTCTGAAACTATCAATGCTTAGCTTTTAGGTAAAAATCAAAGAATATTTTGTTATGGTTAGACACATTTCGCACACACCATGGGAATGGAATTCGGAGAAAACCCGTCGTTTCCACTGCTTGTGTGGTCACTCGATGGCGAATCCAAAACTGATGCGGTTGGTCGGGACGTCGTTCCAATGGTGGCATGCGGTGACGGCGTCGAACCGCATCCATCGGAGTGAGGTGGTGTCAATGGTTGTGGTTTCCGTTTAACAGGAATCCGCTAAAAAAATGTTTCAAAAATTAGTGAAAACAGTGAAGAGATAGCATTTAAAAACTAACAATATTTATTGATCTCTTAGCCTACTAACACTAACCTTGACCTGGCGAGTATTGTTTTTTACCGGATTTTTTCCGATAGCCATATGTAAAGGAATACATGTTCTGTTGCTTTCAGAATCTAAAAACTCCAAGACGTTTCGGAATTCGTTTTCCTCAGCTACTTTATAAGGCGTTCGATCCTGTAATAAAATACGACGCTATAAGCGATAGAAAGGTACTTCGTCCTCTTCGTCATGCTGTTCCCATAGCTTAAAGTCAAAACAAAAATGCCCGATGAAGCAACAAAAATAAAATTGGCACGCTTTCGATGCCCTTAGAAGCAAGAGATGTTTGGTGTGAGTGAACAGTGGAGATAGAGTACTTTTTGATCCGTGATCTCCAATGAGGCGCCAGCTTTGACAAGTGCTTGAACAGCTTCGACGTGACCATGAGAGGCAGCTAAGAAAAGTGGCGTTCGATCCTGAATTTGGAGTTTGTTTCTGGTGGACTGAAGATAAGCAGAAGGGATTAGTCTCTTCGAACCTCCAAATCTTGGGCGTCCTTGTTGGCATCTTTGCTGATAAGAAATTCGATCATCTGAACGTTGTTCACTTGTGCAGCATAGTGAAGCGCCGTCCGTCCGTTGTAGGAGAGCGCACTCTGAACATAATAAGATTACAAATACTTTCTGTGGTAATTCTTCTTTGTTAATTTTTCACAACTCTTGTTGAAAATACCTTTTTCTAACGGTTGAATGATTTGACCCAATCAAATAAGTAGAATTCATGGCTCTCGACGCAACACAAACCTTATCGCCTGGAAAGGACGGATCGGCACCGAGAAGGATCAAATGAGCTGCGACAAGATGGTCGACCGTGTCGTTTGCAGCGCATCTCATCAAAGGTGTACGATCGTTGTTGTCACATACGTCGATCTAAAATAAACATAATAGTAGTGGTCAGCAAAAGTAGTTTTGAAAGAAGTGCAGTGCAAAAACAATAAGGAGTAATAAAAAAGAAACACTATATCAGAAATATCGGTATTATGCGAAATCATTAAAAATTACGAAATGGATAGTCACCTCTTTGACTACTGAATTGTGCTTGAGAAGCTCCTCTACCATACCAAGATTGCAGTTGGCAGCTGCTTCGTGAAGGCAGGTGGAATCATTGCGATTCATAATCGTAGGATCTGCACCCATGTCAAGTAACTTTTTCGCCAAGCTTAGACGACCACGTCGAACAGCAATGAACAAAGCCGTTTCCTCATCTTAAAGAATCTTATTACAAAGCCTTTTTCAGCAGTTGCAACACATGTTGCCATCATACCATCATCTTGCATGTTTAAGTCTCCGCCAGCCGCCCAAATTTTCGCTGCTTCTTCAACAAGTTGACTTTCTGGTTTCTCCGAGTTGTCACACAACATCATCAGTGCTGTTCTTCCGAAAGGACCACGTGCATTCACTATGGAAGAGTCTACTTCAATGGGAAGGTTTGACGAAGCCTGCTCGTGTAGAAGTGTCGCAGGAGGATGAACCTTCTTCGTGGTTTTCATCGCAACTCTGAAATATACCCCTCTAAATATTATAAATTTAAAGGTTGAAAACGATGAAAAAGAGTACTTACTTTTGAGAATGCAATGAAGAGTTGAATGGGTCCGAATCATAGAAATTGAGGTTTTCCAGACGCGGTCTTTTTGAGCCAAATAGGTGATCAGAATAGAAACCGGCTCGCAGCATTTGCTCACTTTGTGACAAGGAGGCAAGTTTATCTGTACATTGATAGGAATTATTTTCAGTACTGGCAAAGTGTACATCAGTAGCCAGCAAATAATTGTTCGACCAACGTCGTTTATAAATTTTATAAAAGTCGCTGTAATAAAGTTACTCTGTGCCTCAGTCGGTGGAATCCAGCAAGGTGCTTTGATGGTTCGGCGCTTTCGAGTCCTTTGCTGTAGCACAAATACGCTGGCGATAATGATAAGAATTGCAAAGCAACCAATTATGAAAGCCCAATATCGGTCGGAATTTGGCACCACTTTTGAAGTGTCTCGACGGCGAGCTACGGCTTCGTAGATCGGCATTCCCAATTCAGTCAAGTCCTTTAGAAATAAAAAATTTGCGTTTCGTTTTCGATTTATTTTCTTCCACAGTATTTAAATAAAATAAACTCAAATGAACGAAATACCTTTTTGGCATTTGCAGCACCCAGATAATTTGCAACGGTATCTACGTTGCTGAAGCAATCGCTGTGACAACCGGAAACGTCCACTTCGATCCAGACAAGCACGCCGACACTCGAAGAGGAACGTTTCGGCCGGAATTCACCTCCATACTGGACCGACAAATGCTGAATGAAATTCCAGTCAACGTCATTGAACTTTTCCAATAGGCTTAACATATACTAATAAGGAATTGTGTAATTTCACAGAGACACACTTAGCTACCCATCCTAAATCGCTTCGCTGCAGTATATAGTTACAAGCGTAGCTGTTGGATGTGCCCTGCAACACACGTGGAAGCGGTTTCCTCTCCCATGGCACACCAAGCCTTCCATCCCTCCGGGATCGGCGAATTGGTACCAAACTTGTCTGCGTGAATAGCAACGCTGGCTCGATACAACGGTAGGCCACCACGAGTCATTATGAGGACCAGATATGCATTCCATCACCTCCAACGAAGCATAGTGAACTCGGATGCATTGTGCATCTTTCAGGGATTGATCAACGCCGAGAGATTTTTAGCTTTTATTGGTAATAAAGCAGAGCCAATAATGGAGAAACTCATATAACCTGGTTGCGTGGAAGAGGAATTCGCTTTGGGGAAGGACGACCGCTCCAAAGAAAAACAAGTGGACCCTCCTCGTCACTCTTGATTCGGACTGATGCACGAAGTTTCTGACTAAGAGTCAAGAGAAATGCATCGACGTGTTTCACAAACTGATTTGGGCTTGTGAGAATGACTATCGATATGTCTCCAGATAGCTGAAAAGTACAAGTACGCATAAAGTACAAGTGATTTTAGACTTTTCTAAAACACCATCAAATATCATTAAATTGAAACAGCTTTAGTAACGAATTAATAACGAAGTATTATGAATTACAGTGACCGGCTTCTTCGTGGCACAGTCTCCCCCATCGAAAGCACATCCGGGCAAATCACATTGATGGTCGCAAATACCATCGCCATAGTGGGAACGACAATAGTCGATTATTTGTGGAGGACACCGCGGTGTTAACGGAACGCAGTCGAAGCCGTCAAACAGACACGCCTCGTTGTTACAAATCTGAAACTATGGCAGTGAGAACAGTAAAATCACTCAACATAGAAACTCACTGGGTCACAGCGTCCATCTTTGAATACGTGAGCACAGTAGCTGGGAGAGTCGCATCTGGTAAATGGCTGGCCTCTGGCAGAGCAGTCTCCGCTGTCAAAATCACATGCATAAAAATTGCACTCAACATCACATTTTCCGTCTCCGGCTTTCAAATGACACTCGGAAAGAGCGCATTGATTGCGTTCCAATCTGAACGCCAAAATCATCAGTGTACAACCAATCAGTGAATCGAGAAATTCATTAGAAGAAGCTCGTTGCGTGTTTCACCTATCCGTGTCGTTAAATTTGTCAACATTAACAAAAATTTGACAATTTTGTCCAGTGTATCCACGAGGACATTCGCACTTGTAGTCGTCGACGAAATCGATACATCTTCCACCGTTTAGACACAGCCTAGAAGAACGATGACACCCATAATTCACTGGTGCAGAAAAGTCTGCTGATAACTATGCAGCAGTAACTACACATCGTTTAGTCTTGCTATACATGTATAATATGTATTGTAGTATTAATGTAATGGCCTCTGTCTTTCTTCCTTTCGATTTCTAGTTGTTCTCAAAGGAAGCACACGTTACTGATGTAAATTAGTAGACTTTACCTAAATATATGCTATAATATACAGCAGATAAACACTGCTTGCTATACTTATCTCTTAGGCAAACATTCCAACAATACTAGGGTCCACTGCGAACAATGGCACATTTAATACCACTTTAGATGCGAATATGACTAGGTGCAATGAGGCCATCAGTAGTCTATAATTACAATTCTGTATGATTGCGAGATTAGATGACCCTTTAAACGATGACAATGAAGACCTTCACTGATTATATTTATTATGTTTATCGCTTACATGGAGAAATTAAATTTCATTGAAAACTTGACTCGTACGAAGAAATGTCACTTTCGTGAATCGTGACGATGTGACAAGGTTGGGAAGGGTGTCGCAACACGCGATGTGCATTTAGGTGCTAGCTATGTAGAGTATATTTTTAAGGCATTGTTTGACAGTGATCTATGTTCACACGGCCTCTACCTTATCACTGAGGTCAACATAGTCTTTTTGTTAGATGCGCCGCATTTACGATTCACGACTACACAAGCCTCGAGCTTTTACAATCGGCTGAGAAACTAGTAGTTTTGAGATGGTGAATGCCAGAACGCATTAAAAAAAATTTCGCTTATTGACGCACCCTGGTCTACAGTCGTCATCGTTGATATGGCAATCCCGGCCACTAAAACCACTTTTGCACAAGCATTCGTAACGATTAGTTCCATCCACACATGTGGCACCGTTCAGACAAGGATTCACTGCACAGTCGTCTGCAAAGAAATTGGATAAATGATGAGCTAGCGTATCATATGTCAACATTAGCTTGCCGATATCTACACCACAGGTTCTTCCAGTAAATCCTGGAAGACAGATGCAGCGAAAATTCGCCAGTTCATCAATGCATGTGCTATTGTTGAGGCATGGACCTAAATGTTATTTGAATGGTAGAGGAAGATGTTCATCGAATTCAATTAGCAATGGAGAACGCTAACTTCGAGCACAGTCATCGATGTTTTCCGTACAATTCTGACCAGTATAGCCTTCAGAACAAATGCAATTAAAGCCTCCGTGTGTGTTATGGCAAGTTCCACCGTTGCTACAAGGCTGCTCATTGCATTCATCGATATCCTTAAAACGATTAAGTGCATACTTGTCAGACATGCAACAAACGTAAAAAGGCTCACCACTTCACAATAATCTCCTTCGAATCCCTGTCTGCATTCGCACGTATAACTTCGATAATTGGCCGTTGGACGGCAGATGGCTCCGTTGTCACAACGATTTCGAGAGCACGGCTTCCTCTTAAAACCAACTAAACATTTGCACAGCAATGTGATGTTAAGGCAGTATATGTGCTACCTTAAATTGGCATTGCTCCCCAAAAAATGCCGGTGTACAATGACAAATACTTCCTCGTGCTGCATTGATACAGAGACCATTGTTTAGGCACGGATTACTTGCGCAATGGTCAACAATCTTCTAAGAAATGCAGAATCCACTACCTCACCCATAAACTAATAGTTTTATGTAACCGACTAACTTCGCAGTTTCTTCCTTTATAACCGACTGGACAGCTACAATGGTAGCCATTTAATCTGTCAGAACAGATGCCGCCATGTTGACAGGGATTCGCAGTGCATTCGTCAATTTCATGTCGACAATCGAATCCAGTAAATCCAACAGGACATTCACAACTTACCGAACTGAAATTGTCAAGTAAACAGAACTCTTTCTGTAAAAACGTACCTTGATATTGCTCACCTAGTTCTGTTGTTTTCAACGCAAACATGCCCGGCGGGACAATTTATCATATCGCATGGACTTAGCTTCTTCTCGCAAAATTTGCCTGTGAACCCCTGAATGTACAGTATAAAAAGTTCTTAAAGAAAAAATTTTTTCCTATTCTGGTTCCATTTACCACTGGACAGTTACAACCGTTATCTCTGCAATGACCACCGTTTAGACAGGTATTTGCTGAACATGAGCACCAGTTGCTCTCAGGACACTTTTCAGCGCATGTTGGTCCGCTAAAACCTAAAATGTACAAAATTGTGGGTGAGGAACAGTGAACAAAGTACTTAGAGATGCTAACTACCTTCCGCACAAGAACACTCGAAGTGGTTGAGTCGGTCGACGCACAAGCCCCCGTTTTCACAAGGGTTTGGATCACACATCTCCATCAGTGTATCACACGATGGGCCTGTTACTCCTAAACCAAGACAGCATAAGCAGTCTTTGCAAAGAAATGTTTACTTTTTAGCAAAAATTCTTATTTTAGTCCCTCTCACTTCAGAAAAAGTAAAGTATTAGCAGAAAGGACTTTGAAAAGCTCGTTCTTTACCTTATATCTAGACATATAGAGAAAATGTAGAACGAGTTCATTTACTATCTCTTAAATTTTCCAACGCTATTCTCATAAAAAATCATCAACTCCTTATTTTTCTTTTTCGGCCAGGAAATCAGGTAGCATACCCGGTGGGCATTCGCAGGTATACGTTCCCGCAATATTCACACATGTCGCTCCATTGTAGCATAGAGCGTTACCCCATTCGGCGCACTCATCTATATCCTTGTCACACAACGCTCCCTAAAGCTTACAAATCACTCGCTGTGCACATTTAGCAATAGGTGTGGAAGAAAACTCACCGTATATCCGCGACCACAAGCACACGTGAAGTTTCCAGTAACTGAATCGCCTATACATCTACCGTTAAGACATGGCATTGAAAGACACGGGTCATTGAATTGACAAAAAAATCCTTAAAAATCCGATAGACCGTTATGATTTAAAATCCAATGGCGTCCAATATATAAAAAACCACAAACCGATTTTACCATGTGGACATTCACAACGATAAGATCCAGTGAGATCTACGCAAGTAGCTCCTGACTCACATTTGTGATGCTTACAGTCATCTTTGTTGATGTTACACAGTTCTCCTAAAGTAGTTTTTATTAATATTGGTAATATCACTCGTGATATTATTATTTTTTCCGAGAAAACCTTCGAATGCTGCAGTGCAGAGGCACTGAAATCCACCATCGATGTTAACACATGTGCCGGCGTTTTCGCACGGGTTCGAGATAGAGCATTCGTCAACGTCTTTCTCGCAGTACAGTCCTGAAAAAAAAACGATATTACTAAATAAAAATAGTAAACAAGTGAAATTAGGCTTTCGAAATATGTTGACCGAATGCATGGGCAAAGCTAAGCAGCGGCGTAAAAGTAGAATCCTACTGTTTGTCTATTGTGAACAAGCACTAAATGACTAAAAGAATTATCCTCAGTTTGCTTTATTGTTTTATTCTATTTTATTTCATGCTCATAATATACCTACTTAGCAAGCATTAGAGAAGAGCACAAACTTCTAGGTGAAAACGTGTCACCGACCATGATACATTGGTGGACAAACGCATGTATTGTTGTTGTCCTCAGAAACACAAACACCACCATTGCGACATGCATTTGGACCAGTTGCTGTGCACTCGAAACCACTACGATAGACTTGGCAGTCCTTCCCTATGAATCCGGCGTCACATTCACATCGATACGATCCTATCTGAAAGCTATAGAGCAAATTTTAGCAGTGCACAACTGCGGCAGTTGTTCATGCGTAACCCGGTCGCGTTAAGGCGTTTTTCGCCTTGTAACTTTCTCAGGGCGAAAAAAAGCGCATACGGTGCGCAATCAGTCGTGGCGAATTGCGCGTTTGTCCTCTCTACTTTGCTGCTCATCCGACAGCCCGACATGGGGTTACCGAAAGACAAAGCGCATTCGGAGGCACTGCATGCTGACCTCAGACGCAGAACTTCCAAGCGCAGGTAAAAAAAGAGAGCTCAACTTGACCGTCATGTGAGAAAAGTCGCGTCTACAAAGATTAAGCGTTGCATCAAATCGTAACTAAACTAACCATGTTTACGCATTTGCCGAAGGCACATGGGAACATGTTGCATTCGTCTATGTCCAATTCACAATGTTTCCCGTGAAATCCAGACGAACAGGAGCATGCAAACTCTGATCCATTACGATAACATCTGCCGCCATTGCTACAATATTCAGGAGGACACGGATCCCTCTCGTTACATGTCGCACCTTCAAAGAAATTAGTCAGATCATTCGTCGGTACACTTCGAACTGCATAAAGGTTTTTGACAAAAACGTGATCAACCACGTTCTGTCGCCTCACTTTTAACCGCGGCGCAATTTCGAAGTTTTTGACAAATTGGAGGCCCCCAAGGCCACTACCGAGAAACTAGCAAGAAAAGTGTGGCACTGCACTGGCTCGCTATCCCATTCATAGACACCGAACGATACCACACGGTCGATGACGACCTCCTTCATGGCGAAAATATAAACTATGGGTCAAGTTGCTGAGCCAGGCGATTCGGTTTAAAACCGCCAATAGTGCGATGAAGTGGCGTCTGCTGTTATAAATGACAGTCGTTAGCAACTTTTGACGGAGATTTGTGAGTTGCTGAATTGCATCGCGATGATGTGTGATGAGGCAACAATAAATTACTGGAATACTTTACTTACTCATTAAACCTTGCAAAATTTCTTTAAACCTTACTAGATTTCTGAGGCCAATTTGACAAATGAACAAACGATATTTATTTAATTACTTCTTCAATGTTTATTTTGTCATAGATTGTCTTCTATAGATAGCCAGCTTTCCGAACATTTAAAACAAATGTAGCACAACAAACAATTGTTTCACTAATCCTCTGCACGGTAACTTGTGATGATTTTCTGTTTTGTAGAGGAACTCGCTTTCTTCTCTTCAAGAAGTGCTTGCTTTAAAAATAACTGCTAGAAAAGACCACTAAAAACGCCTAGATTTTATTGGTATCAAAAATTATTGTAAATACAGAAGATTGCTCTAGTGAAAAAGCAGGTGGACCACTAGTGGTAGGCATGAGTTGATTGCAGTAGTCGGTAAAGTGTTAAATAAAATGACTGGCATAGACCATATGGGACCACTCGATGTCGTTTACTATATTTTCCCTGCAGGAGTACAACGAGTGCAAACACTTCAAAAGGGAATACCGACGTACAGGAAATCTTCGTTATTATGCCTCCCACATTGACACATGACGATTGTTGCCGGATACACCAACCTTCTTGACATATGTGAGATATAGTGAGAGATAAAATGGGAATTGCTACATCAAATTGCACCGCTTTACTGTTGATCAATCGTTTAGTCATGCACACAACTGTGATGATCGACTGATTAGTCGTAGCTCTAGCGCGCGCTTTAAATCCTAAATTGCTGACTGCTAGCTCTAAGGACGCGACGCACTTTTCGTTTTCCGAGACCGCAATGGGGATAAGGCAATGACTGTAAATCAGTGTGCTCGTAAAAAAGGGGAATAACCCACAGTGGTGTGTGGTCGAGCCGACTCACATTCCCATAGAAAAAAGTGCGCCCACAACCGTCTTCGATCAACAGCAAAGCGTTTGCGTCTATTGTTGCTGAATTTGTGTTTGGTAGCGCGAATCACATCTCAGCTGACCCACCAAGTCGAAAACTGTTGAATGTGCGCTCCAATTTGAAATAAAGAACGAACGCTCCCTGCATTCATATGTAAATGCAGATGGTCCTTGCTTCAAACATGGTGACACTCTCTTTAGTGACACCCGACCAGACCACCTGTGAGACACAGCGCGAATTAGGGAGACGATGAAGAGGCGTTAGCCCATCACTCGTATTTGATTTTCGCTAACCCTGGACGGGAAGGATTGTTATCATCGTGGCATGAGATAAGCAAACATGACCATGTGCCTCTCTGTAGGAACTGTTACTGTAGAAAACACTTGAGGAAGAAGTGTTTTAACAAGAGGAAAAATTTTGTACCACTTCCCATTCTGAAGCCGCTCTATCATTTAACACAATTCATTCACCTGTAAGCTTTAAATTTTAGACTGCATGTCAGTACTGAGAAAGAAACTCACCTATCCAACCATCATTGCATTGACATTTAAACTCGTTTAGATTTTGAGTCAAGACGCACTTTCCGTGGTTATGACATGGAGTGCCACTTTGGCATATGCTGCTGAGGAAGTGTTCGCAGTACTCTCCAGTGGTCCCTGTAAAATTCCATGTGCTATTGACATCCAAGCACTTGTTTGCAGAGTAAAACCAGCTGATCAAAAACTATCAATTTCTCAAAGATAGCAACAACACTCCGTTCTGATCCTCGTCACAGTATTTTTATTTTAGACGAGTTGCTTAATAAATAGTATTCCAATCCACATTCGGCAAAAGCGTATAGTATAGATATTAAACCATCTAAGATGGGGTTTCAGAGAGGCAACCGCAAGGCCTCGGCAAATTGGGGTTGAACAATTTCACGCGCAGTGACTTGCGGTATGTTTGCAATGAAGGATTGTTGAGCGGTACATTTTTTGAAGTCAAGTTCATACAACGCTGACAGGGCATTATGTTGAAAGAAGAACTGGTGAACAAAGTCAGAAAAAGCACTTTTAAAATTTTTGAGCGTTCACACAATCAACCAGACGAGTGACATCCATAGGAATCTCCAAAATTCGATTATAGCACGGGCACTCATTGTGTTCCAAGAAACTAAAGGGTCAGAGAGTGGTCAATAGGAGGCAATAGAGCCCATCAGTGTCCATTCATTAGCCATTCGTTCACCCTTTCGCGCATACGGCCAGCATATAAATCAACTCGCCACGGGAGACTATCAAAAATCGTCGATTCTGCATTGAGACATCTTATAAAAGAAAAGATCTCAGGCCTACTGAAATCAAAAGAACTAATCTGATGCTGCCAGCATGTCCTCATCAGGGTGGAATTGGATATCTAGCGATAACGCCTTACTTCAACGGATTACTCAAACTAGCGTGAAAAACGCACCGGCAGCAATGAAACAGTTCCTGCTATCGAAAATTTAGGGAACAGTTAATTTCCTTTAAAACGGTGTGGATAGTGCGCAGTGGCCCAAAAAAAACAGCGTCGTGCCTTGCGTGAGTTTTTTGATGACGAATCGAACACTGTGGTCGAAAGAGAGTTACAATCTCTGGCGGCCAAAACAAAGCGGGTCACAAAAAGTGATAGATGACTAAGGCTTATGAGGATTTTCATGCCCAGTACGCTCTCATGAAACTCTTGGTTTTCGTCCAAAAATCACCTCGACCATTACTTCGAAGCTAAATTTCTCAAATAAGATTGTAAATCCCTGAATTATTGCCTACAAAAATCGGGAGATGACAAATTCTTATACTATTACGCAAGCAGACGTTCTGTTTAGCAGTATGCATACCAAAAATCTTTATTGGCACGTTGGTGTGACAAGTCGAAGATTTACGGTAGATAACAACGGTACGATTAGACAGAGTACGCATGAATGACCATAAATCCTACCTAAATCTTGCTGTACTCACAATATCTCTCCAGAACCTCACAACGAAACATTACTCACCCAACTGACAATGACAACTGTAGGTGGCATTCTCGTGTGAAGTGCAAACGCCGTCGTTTAGACATACTTTTTCGCAAGACGGCTTTTCACAGCGATCACCTTTGAACGTTGATAAGCACCTGAGCAATAGTAGTATATACTAATAGGTTTCAAATTAATCTTGTGAAATCAATCGGCAATTTGTTTTTCTAGATATTTGTTGCTATCGTTGCTGCTTTTTTGTATGATATGTTTGTTAAGGAGCTAAACACTTATTCATTGTTTGATACAATTTCCTGGCGTTGGCGCTTTCCGGCACTGCGCAAACGACAAAGGATGTGATTTGAATAGGACAGATGGCCACGCAACAGCGTGAGAACCACAACTTCGATCGGGAAACGGTATCACGGGTACCCGATCACACACTCCAGACAGGTGGGACTAACGTGAAATCCGAAACAAAATGCGTTGCACAGTAAAGAAACTACGCAACTATACAGAACCAAGCGTACAGAGGAAGGTCTCAAACAGCACCGCTACATCGGTGAAAACAGCACTGTTTATTCCAGCATTGCGCAGCAGATGAGGTTGTGGTGGCACGAGAAAAGTAATAGGGAAATCGATCGCAGCTGATTACGCAAGCTACATACAGCCGTTCAATGTGCGAATTCTCATGATACCAACACATATTCCATTTGCAGTAAATGCTCATATTCACGTGTGATTCGAACAGAACAATAACAAAGAAAAAACTACAGAACAACTGCACAGCCGTGTGTTACTGAGACGGGTAAAACATGAGTGTGGCGATGCATTAAACACTTGATGTGCCTGATCCACTGATCAGATTCGAAGTTAAGGAAACAAAATCAATTGAAACGAAAAAAATTAGACGGAGTGATGCAGCTCGCTGAATTCGATAAAGAAGCAGACGCTTATAGTATGAGTTACACGATGAAACAATTCCCAACTGCGCTATCTTTTCAAAAAATACAACACGCAGTTTTGAAATGAAAGTGAAAACGCCCATACAAGAGCAAAAAATTATGATGAGACCGATGAGAAAAAGCTGCTGAATCAGAAATGTGTGAACAAAATGTGTATAGAAAAGTCGTAGTATGTAGTGAAATATTCCTTTTTTTCGAAAAAGAAAAAAAAAAGAGACAAGAACTCCCACCTACACCAATGCGTCGAGTTGACACCTGAAAAACATGAACCTCCATTTAAGCAGGACGATAAGTGACATGGCCCTAAAACGTGTTATTAATCTCAGTGAATGCTACTGTGTTGGATAAATGAGTTGATAAAAAAGCATAATGCAAAAAAAATGTGCTTGGATTAAATTGTGACAAACCTGGAAGAAACTTAGCAATGACAGCAGCTAAAGTGGTGAATACGACAGCAGCAATATGAATTGAACACTTCACCATTCTTGTGAAAGATTATAGTACTGGACTATAAGCCGTTCAACAAATCAGCTAATGTTATTCCTCATCGAATATCAAATATACATGAGCAGTTGCAATACAATCCAACTAGAGGACGTGAGTGATACTTTGTCCTGAGAATAGACGAGTATAATTTCCTCAGAAGAAAAAAAAATGAACGAAGATGTGGTTACTATGTGAAACTCAAGAGGAGGGTGAAGTTCACTAAGTGACTTTAAAAACATCAACTAAAATTTTGTAGAGTTTGATGGAAAGGAAGAAAATTCTTGGGTTAGCAATGCTTTAGTGAATGATCATAAAAAGAATTGCAGAGTGGGCGGAACAACTGGAACACTGTAGTCTTGCGAATGGGCGTGGCTAATCGAAACAATCATAACTACATGCAAGAGCTCGGTATCCATCGATGGCTTCGGTAGGTTTCAACTTCAAGTTTCTTTATGGCCTAGAATAAGTAAACAGTGCCTCTTCAAAGTACGAAATGACGATAGCAGTTGTATCGTTGTAAACACCGCTAAGGAACCACGTAGCGCCTAGGAGAGACAAGAAATTGGGAACGACATTTTAAAAGATCATCCTCACTTGCTACCATGAGAAGTCGTTGGATTGAGCCTCCCAGTAAGCAGCACTGTTTCTAAAAGTTAACTTCTTAAAGGCTAAATTTTTTAACCATCCACAAGCTGGCTTTGGATTGTTAACGAAGAATTCTTCACCTTATTTACAGCATTTCCCACTGAAACTGGTCTTATAACTTCTGATTAAAAGATTTTAAATGATTTTGGGATGACAAAAAAGCGAAAAAAAATTGGCAATAACATTAATGATGGTGGCAAAATATCAAACTTCTTTGAAACAAGATAGCTATGACTCGTGCTATGACAATACAAATGTTGATATTACAATGTTACACAAAAGTTCCTCGATAAGTCAGTACGAACTTATACCACAATGGCTCTTTGACTTTTATCTGTTCTGTGTTTCCAAGAAAGACTTTTTCGTTTTTAAGCTTCTTGATAGGAGAAGTATTCATTTTCCGGTCTTCTTATATAAATATAGAACTACAGGTTGACCTTTCGACAAAGTGGCATATGAAGAGTCTTGTGAGTTGCTCCAGCAAGGCATAGACAACAATGCTTGTTTTCAACCTTCAAATCTAAGCTTGTTTTTTTAAAGTGAATGGCAAAGGATTGCAGTGCTGTTTATACGATTGGAGATTACACGAGTATGCAAATCTAATAACATGTGTTCACATACTGGCTCATATTGTCCACAGTGTGCAAGGGTATGAACCGGCTAACCGAATATGTTATTTTATTGTTTTCGGCAGTGCGAAGAAAAAAGCTTTATATCCAGGAAATAAGACTTTGCATAAATCAATAGTGTAAGCTTAGAAAAAAAATGAAGCTTTAGCGAATTCTTCATGAATTAACAGAATACTAAGGAGCTGTTCACATTCTTAAGGAAGCAAAGACTCTTGTGTTGTCGTTTCCACTACTTTGATTCTAATTTTTCTTCTTCGAGTACTGATTAAAAACCTGTACAAGTTACTGATAACGTTTACTAACAACTTTCAAAACTCGTCTGCCGCTGTCTCGTCAGCATCCTTATGCTCGCAACCAAAACTGTGTTGTTGCTTGCTAGCAATTCAACATGGAACAATATTTGTTAGAACTTCGGTTATATCACGGAATATGTGCCCGAATTTAGTTGCTTAGTTTGTCAGAGTCACAGCTACTCATACCGACAGAGGCTCGGTCATTCTGCCACAAAGTCCTCACTTCAATTTATTTAGTAGACTGTTCACACAACACAATGAAACGATTGTAGACCAGTGTACAGCGAAAAAATTACAAAAACAGTCACTTTGGACGATTGAGTTTCAATACTCAACAATATTTACATAACAAATCTTATTGTAACAAAATTTCTAAGTGTATTAGTAGTGTGAAAAGTCGTTATAAGAAATCGATATCAATAGAATTGTTACTGCACAGAGGGTATTATCATCGGTTGAGAGAGGGAAGGTGCCGTCGCGCGCATGCTACCACAACATCGAGGACCAGAGAATGGCACCATGACGAGCATTAGATAACGTGTCTGTCTCATCTTCGCATATTTGCCTCTCTCAGAGAAAACCTCCCAATGATTTCGAGTTCACTTCTTTCCAGCAAGCTCTTCTCTAGACTGTGGGTACAAGAAGAATCGAAAAAGAACGGCGACCGCTTTTCTGAACGATTAACGACTGAGCGTTTCCCAGATCATTTTTGTGGTGACAAGGATGTGCAGGTGTAATCGTAGCACTAATAGACGCGACATTCCACGACGACGACGTATAATTGGAAAACGGTAGAAAACTAGAGATGGCGTCATCGAAATAATGTGGGAGAGGACACAAACGTGAACGCACAGATCCTCACCATGCAAAATGAGGCCGCAAAATGAAGCTCATTAATAGAACGCAGGAAGTTAGAATGAACAGAGCAGATGCGTTACTAACAAGAGATAAACTCGATAAACTGAACGTTTCCTCTGACAGCGGATTTGAAGCATGAAGATTGTGCGTAGAGAATAGAGTATTTCGTCATGTGCGATTGAAGGCTAAATCCAATCAAGGGCATTTTCCCAGATGAGACGACCAACAATTAGAAATGAGGTGCTGATGATGAGGCCAGAAGCGATACCTGATCGGCATTCCGACGACACACGATAATTCGTTGAGGTAGTTGATCAGTTTTTATTAGCACATCTAATTATTATGGTAATGATCCCTCAGATGATCATCGACTATTAGTGGCATGCAATCAGCCTAAGAAAATTCATCAGCGTTCATTCATTAACAGCTAGCACTATTCTCTTTAAGCAATTTCTTCACTGTTGTGGAGCATTTTAACACTGTACAATTCCAAGTATGCGAAGTCCATCACGAACCAGCTCTTCAGTGAAATCTCACTATGCACAGGGGAACATAGCCTAAAATGCCATATCTTTTAGAAAAAACAAACGTTTACACTGAAAAAACTTGTACTGTACGTTAATTTAGGAATTAGAAAAAATTTTTCTCCCTATATGAATGATGTGATATATAAGCATGAAACTTAAGTGAGCTTCTCAGCAATGAAACTTTACGCTCAGAACATGAGAAAAAGCGATGAGATGGTTTGTACCTGCTGGTTGAGATCTCACGCCAGAAGCAAATGATAGTAACACCAATTAGTATCGAACATGATGGCTAAATGATAGGTTAGCCTCCTGTACGTGATTACTTGTACAGTAAATCTGCACAATTTCAATGGTTGGTTAGGATTTTGGAGTTTTAACTTTCAAAAAAAATATGTCAGGAAAGTCTTATTTTTTCCACAGCACTACTATAAAGTAACAATTTCTCGTAGAAAGGAATCCTTGGATACAATGTGATACCAGAATGCATCCAACCAATCAATTTAATTACAGTGCACCAATTGGATAATTCATCAGAAGACAAAGAGTGAGCTGAGTTATTCGTGCATATGCACAGAAATTAGGTACAAAGTGTCTGATTGTTCCTCTAGCTAGTCACTAAGCGATTATATCTGGTTCACTCAACGCTTTCATAGTTAAGGAATGCATCATTTGTTCACAAGAAATGACGGTCGACACTTACTTCTCGAGGAGTACGCGTAATTTATACATTACTAATTTACTAATTACTAATGATTGTAAACGACTTTTAATTATTGTAGTTGCATGTGTTCACCAGAAGTTACAAGAGGCTCAGAAAGGAAATTCACATACAATGGCAATTCAGCGAACGTCTCACCGTTTGGTCGAATCGTCCAAAAGTTTACCAAACGATGCTGAACGCTAGAAATTTGATACTGAAAAAACTTGAACACGATCGCAAAATGTGTCGATGGGATTAACTGACGTTTGATGTCAGCCGCCGAATCACTTTGGGCGGTATGGGAAAGTAACCGAAGCGTATTAACACAAACACGTACGTCTGCACACAAATTTTTAAGGAGACTTATTATCTGTGCACATTCCGAAGCTCGGAATACAGTAATCTCTTTGAATTTCGCTATAATAAGAGTAGAAATTAATATGAAATGCTGGTGGGTGTTGAGTTGCATAAGGATTCGAAACCTTGTAAACCCAAGCTAAGAAAGGATTCGTGTTTCATGCTCAAAAACCCAACTAAGAGTGAACCTATGTTTCGGCAGCGCTCGTGAAACTAACCATGGCTTCTTTCTTCTTTGGAGGAATTAAAGAGGGAAACCTTTTATTGAAAAGTGCGACGCTGTTCGAGTTCCACGAACGAACATAGATCAACACTGGCAAGCAGCGATGAGAAGTGGACGTCATATTCGTGCAAGCTGGAGTTTTTCGACGCTTAGTGGAATCACAATAGATAGAGATGATACAGATGGCACAAATAATGAGCAATGAAGGCGTTTAACGGAGCAACGAGCTGCCTATTACTACTTGGTTTCTGATTTGTTTTCTTTTTTCATAGCGGCCAATTCTCCTCTAACCCACTAGGCTTATCGAGCACTAACAGAAAGGATGATTTATTGTAAGTGATTTGAAATGTCACCTATGTGCGAGATTTCCATAATAAGGAAATTTGGATTTATGAATCTGCAAAATTTGCAGATTTTGGAGAAAATAATCCCACGTTATGAAACACTGAAACACAAAACAGTTCCATAATTTCAATGATGTTGAGATATAGTTCCATGATTGATAAAACAAAAAGACGGAAAAATTGTCAGCCAACCACTCAAGCCTTCATGAACTGTATCTTTGCGCTCATCAATCTGTTAGTTGCCTTGGTCCTTTTCGTTTTCCTACTCTAGCATAAGATTTTCAATTACTACTTACCAGACCTTTGTAAACCGGCTTTTATTTAACACCGGCATAAACCATTGTTAGTGGAGTAACTCATCAGTTTTAGCGCATTCTCTGAGTTCATGTTGATCTGGGACGCATCTTGATTGTTTTACAACCATCAATAGCCCGCTGAGAGCTGATTAATGGTAACTGAATTGTACTCGGCCGCCCCAGTTTTGTACGTGGAGGACGAGACATATCGGGCAAATGCTCAAAAGAAAGAGGCCGTGCGGCTTCTGACGACGACCGGCTCAGGTTTTAAAGATTTCCGCTTCCGGCAGCGATTAGCGACTGCCTCACTATACATCGTGACAATGTCGCTCTTTTAGAGATGTGACATTTCTCTTTAATGAAGATATCTAGATGCAAAACGAGATATGCAAGTGTTGCCTCCGGAAAGCACACATGTCGCTCTTAATTACTCCGATTCTTTGTTACAATTCTCCCTCTAAAAAAGATTTAAATAATGCAGTGCGCACCAACGGAACAGTAATTTGTTATCCGATGGCTAATCAATCTTTTGCTGCTCGAAATTCTTAAAATAGTATGAAAAAATTTTTCATCCAATGGTAGATGGCATTGATTACTGTAGAGAACGTCTCATTGCACTCATCTGCCTGCCTGCAACTAGATTGCTAAGGAATTTGTTGACAGTGACTGGGGCCACTGAATTCGCTAAAAATTAATAGCCCGCTCTAGCGAATAAGTGCACATATGTTGTGAGCTCAAATGAAAGCCACTGTAACGTGCATATTCTTGCAGGGATATGTAGATCTATTTGCTTAACTACATGAAGGGGCTCTGAAAAGTGCAGTTGCATCTTCGTTCCTTTCCTAATGACTTTGTTCGTAACTGTAAGTGGAAATGCGGCAGTCAATTGTTAAAAATACCATGAGCACACCGAAAAGAGCAAGACCTCCATGTGCACTCGCTTAACGTTTGCTATGTCAATTCTCCAATGTATGCATAGCCATCATCTTGCGACACTGCTAACTAATTAATTTTATCGCTTTCTTAATAACTTTTTTTTTGACTGCAATGGTCTTGAATAGACATAAGAGGTTGCGGTAAGCAATTACTTTTGATTACAATGGCAGTGGTTACTATATCCTTCTTGGCGCATATTTGAGGTCAGTAAGTACTCCTGTGTTTTATCACTACTTCTTTTACCAGTGCACAAAGCATCGTTGCTTGTAGTGGGAAGCCCATTTTCAGCAACATGTTGTAATGTGATCGAGAAACGAATCCTCTTTGTTGCACAAGAGAAGTGAGGACAAATTTCACGACAACGTCCTCCTTGCTTGTCCTTCAATTCAAAAGACATTCAAGTTGTCAAAATTTTTGATTTCCAGTTCTCTTGATACATTTCTTTAAACCGTTGTCTTACCTGCGTCTTATTCTCCTACATCTTTCTAAACTCTTGTACATAAACCTGCTTTTAGATCTCGTCTGTGACCGACCACCATCGATGGCAGGCAATCTTCGCTGTCTCCTTCGCTCTGGTTCTCGTCTTCATCACAAAACTTTTAGAACTAACTCTACGCCTTCTATGGGCCGTCTGTTTTTGCTGTTTTACGCTGAAGAATGAATTGAAGCAAAAAGTTGCTTGAATCTGTTCCTTTTCCACTATTACTTCAACAACGCAATTTGGACACAAAAAATTGTAAAAAAAATGAGGACCTTCATAAAAATGAGTAATGAAATTATTGCATTGGACAACCTGCTACGAGAGACTACAAAACATAAAATCGGACTTAAAGTAAACCACAAGACGACAAAATAAACATTTTCGGGTGATGCAGTAGTTATAAAAATCTGATATGAAACATAACATCAAAGTTGCAGAATCAGCTTTTTATCTAAGCATTGAACACAGAAAAGTCCGCGTAAGAAGACGAATTTTTCGCCTATGACCCACCAAGCCTTCCATTCCTCCAGGGTCGGCAAATTGGTACAAGACCTATCTGGGAGGATAGCAGCACTGGCTCAATACATCGGTAGGCCACTGCAAGTCACTGTAATAGCCAGTTATTCATCTAATCACTTTAAACGATGCTTAATGAAGTCGAGTGAATGGCGCATCCCTCAGGGTTGACCAGCGCCAAGAGCTTTATCCGTTTTTCTATCCTTTAAGAAGACGAATTTTTCGAAAGCTTAACCAATTTAGGATTTTCAACTATTATCTAACTGGGAAACTGCTTGGGATTTTCAAATTAAACGCAGTATAATCGTATGTCAATGAAAACTCATGTCCCACTTTCATTTGTGGTGTCTATCACTTTCCAAAGAAAAAGCAGCAATACAAGGTTTCACGTTGAAGCCATCCAAACGTTGTAGTATATTCAAAGACCAAACACTATTTTTTCGTGGTGTATTTTACGACACACCGTTATTGCTTCTGATTTGTACTTTTAGAAAATTGCGACATATTAAGAGCAGCTAGTGAAGACAGGAGCCTCTCATGCCAGTCAATTGCTCAGTTTTATTTATGGAGAGACGATTGTTCTAAGATGTCCAAATGTCAGCCGGAAAAACATCGTTATCGGACTCGTTAGCTTAGTAGTCCAAGAAAGCAATTGTCCTGAGTTGATTGATAAGGAGCACTGAAATGCTCACTGGACGAAGTCGTTGAGATTTGGAATTGGTCAGAAATGAGTTGTATCTCATAGCGTATTGTTTTCATTTTGCGTTTGTGTGTAACGTAACGATTACGATGAATGCTTAATGAGCGTGCGTAAGTTGCGGTGTCTTTGCGGAATCCTTGCGCAATCCCGTAAATGCCAATTGTACAGTTGAGAGGCGCGAACACCTTTGAATGCTACTGGTTTTCCACTTGCGCTAGCAGATATGTGAAATTACACTCCGTATTTTCATCTACTGATAATTTAAAGTAGGACTTGTAATGCCCGATAACCGGATGAGAGCCAATTTGAAAACGAAAACTTTTGGTTTGTGGAATTAATTTCACGTTTCATTACGGAGCCATTAGCGCTGAAACATTGTTTCTTTTGATGCAACACTTCAAAAGTTCACACTGACGCTCGGCATGGACGACAACACAAAGCCTATCGTGGTATCATAGTAAAGTTCTATACAAAGATGAAGTGAAAAATGATGACATAAAACACAGACATCAATACCTGTTTAATTGTTGCAATATTCTTACCCTTCAACTTTTCCTCTCAAGTTCAGTGGGATGTGGCGCAGTGGTCGGTGGCGCCCTGCTACACATACATGGGATCGGTCCTCGCGCCCATGGCTCACCTAGTCTTCATCTCTCTGGGATCGGCTAATGGTATCGGACTTGTCTGGGAGGATAGCAGCACTGGCTCGATACATCGGTAAGCAACCTCAAGCCATTGTAAAGGCCAGATATGCATTCAATTACATCGAAACGATGCTTAATGAAGTCGAATTCGTGGCGCAACCCTTAGGGATTGGTCAACACCGAGAGCTTTATTTTGCTTTAACATTGTTATGCTATTAATTATGCAGTTATTCAGTGTGAAATAAAATTTGGAAACGGAAATGTGAAAATAAAAAGAAATAATGCTCTCTCGGTGCATTATTTACCCGACCATACATTTATATTAAAGATCTGACCATATATTTCTATTCAAAGATCAACGTTCTAAATGACTTGGCCAACATGACGTAACCTTCTAATTGTGGAACAGTTATGAACCTTTCTAGGGAGACACTAAGCTATTTTTTTACATGATCCGACACCACCTCAGCTGCTTCACTCGATTCGTTTTTCTCGAGTTCACCTTCAAGGTTCATTGGATTTGGGTGTGCATTCCGGCTGCTATTAAAAATTTTGGTTTCCTTTACGAATATGATTGAATGTTGGTTGAATCGGTTCTTCCCGAAATCTTGGAACCTGTGCAGAAGCTTTTTTAAGTATTGTTGGTCAGAACGAGCTTCCAAGACTGCTCCGATACTGGTTCACCGACTACACGAGAACGGAATACTTGGTAGGCCTGATTCCTCTAACAAGTTATATAACATGGTAAAATTACGGTTTTCGAGTTAGACTTTACAGAAGACATAACAGAAACTATGGAATTAAAATGGAACCCTGCACAAAAAACACCTTAACGACTGCTTGAAAGCGCCATGATTCAAAACTAGTTCGCATATGATGCAGAAAAAAACTATATCGAGGGCAATATCAATAGAACTAGCTGAGAGCCAGGCGAAACGAAGGATCCGCATGGTGTGGTGGTGAACGCGCTACTCCCCGGAAAGGACAATAGCGCGTTCGTTCCCCACCGCAGAAACCTGCGGTCCGGAGTTTTGTAAATATCTCAGCATTATAGTAGTTATATCGAGGGCTTTTAAATACGTGGGTGTCAACGGTCTTCTAGGAGGTTACTTTGTTCTTAGGCGTAATTTCGCAGAAAATTTTTATTCTATTTTGTTTTATTTTTGAAGAAAATTATTTTTTCGGCTCCGAATGCTTGCTTCTTACTATTCGCATATGTTCCTCTTTGCTATAGCATTACACCAGACTATCAACAGCGGAAAACTTTTTGAATGCTAATGCAGTCCCTCAAATTCTTTCTTCCCTGAGAAGATGAGCTACTTACCTCTTTCTTCTGTGGACTGCTGTATTTCAAACTTTCACTGCTTGAAAAGAAGGAGAGAAGTGCTTAATTTTAAGTGATGAAAGTTTGTTTTCACTAGAACCTTTGCGTTTTCGTATTTCATTTAAATGTTTTTTTCATATTTCGCAGAAAATTACTACACAGAGCGTATCTGCTCCGTTTCGCCTATCAAATTTTCTGCTGTTCTAAACGTTTGCTCTGCTAAGTAGGGAGCACCACACCAATTAATTTAATACGTATTGATCGAATCACAAGAGCTACACCCATCTGCATCTGTCTTCAGTAATTTGACAGCTCTTGCAGAACGATACATTTCGGAGGTTATTTTCAAGGACAGTTCTGTTTGCAACGTAGACGTAGTGAAATCAAAACATTTATGATGTCGCATTGATGTATGTATGTGGTCATATCAATTTTTTTCATTGAATTAACACAACCACTAATCTGCTTGCCACCTCATCTAAAATAAGAGGTCATAGAAGCGGATTGAGTTTGAGAAAATCGGGATCTGCAGCCACGATTTTTGTAACCAAAAAGGAGTGTATGTTGAAAACGACGGCCAGTACCTCATCACATTCGATATCCTGTAAGCTGTTATTGGCTACTGTCTTTGTCCTAAATGGACCAATACAGGTAGGAATCCGACAAATGCTACCTTTACTTCAAGCTTTCCTGGGTCCAAGGAGCGTTCATCCCTGAATACCAGCTGCACGCGAACTTTTCCATCATCCGATGAAGAATGTAGGTCTCGGAAACGGTACTGCCAAACGTAACTCTGAAAAATCGTATAACGAGAGTAACATAAAACCTGAGAAATGTTGAGATATATAGCACACCTTTGTAGGAATATCGTAGAGGCTTATTCCTTGTTTAATATCTAACACCAACCCGCTTGGTCTTTCTTCAAAACTGCACGCAAATGTTCGTGTCTGTAGAAAGTAAGCATTAATTAGTAATGTACAAATGTGAACCATATAGTGAAGGAATATTTCCATTCAATAATATTACTCATTCATGAAGAAAAAGCATCGTTTCTGCGTAGACGATCTTTCAAATATGCACAGAAAATCAGCTGTCAACTTCCCCATCTTTTCTAATACTCTCGTCGGCACTTTTTCACAACAAGTTTACTCAGCGTCTGCATTAACAGGTAAAATATCTTCATTGGGTTAATAGGTTGATTCACTTGGTTTTGAAATAAGACACTGTAAAGGATTTTTAGAGGAAGTAGATGAAGCATCTCTAGCCGAAGGCGTGGTTGGATCACCTTCGAGACTATGTTTACTCTCGTATACTTATTGCGCTGTTACAACAAACGAACGCATCTGCGTTGACACACATTTCCCACTGGTACACGCACACTTTCACACGCATATATATATATATACATATATATATATGTCTACATATACACATCGATGCATAGATGCATGCATATACAAATCTACATATACATTCATACATACATGGATACACACACATGCATACACAGATTCGTGCGTACGTACACATGCCTACATAAATATATTATATACATGCATACATACATAGATACATACATACGTACATACATACATACCTCGATCAACAACTCTATATTAATCAATATCAAATGTTTCATACATAAATCGATCTAAATAGAGGTTTTAAGTGTTGTTTTCACATTAATACATACATACATGCATGCATACATACATACATACATACATACATACATACATACATACATACATACACATACACAATACAAATAAGCGACGAAAATATTTTTATACACACAGACCCGTATAAAAATGTGGACTGGAAATATAACAGCATGATTGTTTAGCTTGTATTGTTCACTTACTCAAGTGAGGTTAAACAGACGGCACGAAAAACCATCTGTGCTTATCTGAACACTCAAAGATAATTTCCCATATTTGTTTTTCAAATTGAAATGGACAAAGTAATATGAATTCTTAAGCACACGTACCTGCATTGCAATCACAGTTGTGTAGACACTCTTGTGATAAGCGGCCTCGAAGATTTCGAACATTTGAGGAGTTTCCAACGACAGATAGTGTCGTATGCCGTCTGCCATGCATGTTTCCAGATAAAAGGAATTTTCACGCTTGTCCAAACGCCGTGAATCATTCGGCACCTTCATACACTATTGGTTAAATCTGCGAAGCAAACGAATTGTTGGAGAAGTACATTTCGTAAAGAAAGTCGAGTTGCAAAACATGGCCCAAAATGGGAACCGTTAGCTCAAGGTATTCGTCCCTAAATATCCCTAAATGTCCCTATCCCTAAGATAAATAAATATAAAAAGAGTTCAATGTTCCTAAATGAGAGTGGCGCTATGATTTATGATGATTTTGCTTAATTTTCACTGTATCACTTATAATTATCAATTAGTCGGAAGCGTGAAAAGACTCTAAAATGTAAGAAATGTAATCACCTTTCTTACAACGTGGATTCGCTTTATTCACTTAAAAAAAACAGATGGATACCTGCTTAATTGCCACATCGTAATTTTTGTAGAGATATAGACACTTGTTCAGGTCTTCGGAGCTTAACTGAAATAGGATCTGATGATTGCTGGAAATTTCTGCGGTGTATTTCCTGACCCACCGGTGGACTCTCAAATAAGCACACGTCGCCACCTTTTAGTATCAGAAATCGCGGTTCCCATTTCTGCTTCGGATCATCCGATAATCCTTCACTCATATATTCATTCACCCATCCTATATAGGAGATCTAAAATTGTCGTAAATGTAAGACCTTCAATTTCCCACTCCATGATTTAAAGCGGACGATTGAACATTAACTGCTTGGAGCCTCCTAGTTCCGACTTCCTCTTAACCTCAGCATTCACCAATATTGCTGCTTAACAACAAAAGGATGAGTGTTTAAGTGAAGCTGTTCGTTATGTGAATAAATATTTATGTATTAAGCTTCTTATGTTAAAGTGATAATAGTGTTTGACCAAGAGTTTCCGTGTCAATTTGACATTTCCAGGCTCTTAAGAAGGCGAAACAGCCGAAAACATCGGAACAACTGCCAGTATTGTATTCAATAAACCTTGCTGCTAATAGCGTCGCATTTGCTTCTCAAGAAAATACTATAAGTGCTTCGTTTGTGAGTTTTACTTTATATACGGTTTACCACGTTATCTGTGCGTTACTCAGGGAAATGATATGAAAAACTTCGCATACCTGTTCACTTTGGTGCAAATATTTGTTGCTCATTTTAATGCTTTTGTGGTTAAGTGCTTGAATGTGATTGTTAATATGTTGGATCCACTGCTCAAGTGCTCGAGCATCAGCGCAATGAATGATTCCCGATGATGTTCCGTCAACTGCACGAACCTCGAAGGAATTAGTTCTGGAAAGAAACTAGTGTTCGTGTTCCGATCGAGGAACGCTCAATTATACTCTACTAAGTGTGAAGAATTGACAAAATACTAAAGAAAAAAAAGAAAATCGTAATCCAGTTAAGAAGTACGTTCAGAGACTTCAATAAATAAAAGCAATGAAAACTGAAGAAATGCAGTTTTGTGACCAATTAGCAATAGAAAGTCTTGCTTGGAGCTATTGAAAAGATACACACGCAATATTACCTCATTGAAAGACACTTATCTGGCTAAGGTTCTAGAATGATTTTCTTTTTGAAAAATCTTGTTTCAGCGATCGTCGTATTCCATTATTAATTCACATATATTCCGTGCAACAGCTTCATGGAAAAAGCATGGAAAGTTTCATGGAAAGTGCTATTTGCAAGTAAAACTTTGATAATAGTTTTGTTTCCCATTGTGACATCAGGATAATTTATCTAATGTCTTGCTATGTCGAACCTCAAAATATCAGTACCCCAGAGGTATCGTGTGAGGTACGCCATTGGAAGCGGTATTACCGTGACTGTCTTCCATTTTTCGTCTTTTCCTTCAACGCCGGCCGACTTTTCACGTCCGTCGTAGAGTCCTAGATCGGATTGTGCCTTCATTGCGGTCTAAATGCAACGATCAGTCCATTCAAATCTAACCACTGATCTAATCAACAAAACTGTTCATAGACTGCAAATGGTTCAGTACTACCTTCCAAGTACTGGGCTCATAAATTTTATCCAAAGCGCCACCTGACCTTCCTGGCTGCAGTGACTGAGCTGGCCTGAACGTGACAGTTCACATAACGACATGGCAAAAACATCGTCCAACCAAACAAACTTCAGAAACGAAACAATGTTAGAGCAATGTCGAACTCCTAGTCGAACTTCTTCTCCATCCGCTTTGAGCATTTCTACCACCTCATCATGAGATCGACCTTCTACTGATACACCGTTAACCTCCACTATAGCGTCACCGACATATAACTGACCTGTTTGGTCAGCTGCAATTGAACTAGTTAGGTGGTGCGTGAAATGCAAAACTGCCAAAAAATCATATATAAAAATATAAACGAGAAACTAAATTGAACTACTCTCATTTGAATGGGATTGAAATCATTCATCACAACCTTCTCTTGAGTCGAGAAATTCGAGTATTAAGCAAGAGTTGCTTCATAAAGAGTAGTGAGAGGTTTGGCACCCTAATTCAAATAATATCTAGACTTTAAATTGATCAGTACATACCTGGCATTCCAGGAAAAATTTTGGAGATGACAATAGGGAGATTCTGAGCGTTTTCGGTGCCGCCCTGAAAATTAAAATGATCATTTCAAAACATGCGTAACCTTCTAAAACAACCCTACTGGCTTTGTATAGTAAGATATATTTTTCGTCATCGCATCCAATTTTGGGTAGTAGCTCGTAGCATTGTTACAAACGGATATTCTTTCACAACTTGTGTTTGGCTTCAGTACTGACAAATAGACATTTTAGAAAATCCATTAACACATTTTTTCTAAATCAAACTTTTTACTCCCTTAAATTCGTAATGTCTAAGACTCCCGATATTTGGTAGATATTATCATGTAAAAAATGCCGGGAGCAGTCAAGGTAAACTTGTTAAACCTACCTTTATTGACAGCCCTAAGCCTCCACCTTTTCGTTTTATTACAATGGTACGAGTTTGGTCATCTGGTGCTGCTGGTTCCACTTCATCTTCCGTTGCGCTATCAGCGGGAATTTCTATCGAAAGCTGATCTAGATGTATGCGTCGTACAATACGATAGCAAAAAAATTAGTTAAGAAGCTTTTAAAATTCTAGAAAAAATAAAATATTAGAAGTAAAAGAAGTCACCCTTAGATAAGAGGAGTCTCGATGGTCTTCCACGTCCTTTCCCGTCGCTTATAAGTACAAGGCCGTGATGAACCTATGAAGCACTTGCTGTTGATTTCAACAATTTATCCTTTCATATCCAAATCACTACAGTCGAAAGGCAGAAAAAAAGCAGATGAAAATCTTACAATATCAAGGTTTCGCTGACGATTCTTCATTCGAACACAATATACTGAATTCGATGAGTGAGAGCGGATTGAGGCTGACAGCACATTACACTAACTCACTAACAGCCGGCGGACTGAGGCAGCGAGGCAAGAGAAAAAACACAAATGTGGTTTAGAAATCACAGGATATGTTAGTTGTCCTAACCAACGTTTAGCGTTGAGAGTACGCTGACCTACATAGGACGTGTCTAACTAAGAAACAACCGTAGAGAAGTCGCTTAAATACGTATACAAACATAAATCTAAGGAAAAAATTGTGCTAATACATTCATGAGCCTAAACCATGATTTCTGCTTCTGTTTCTTATTACCTGACCTATATATGTTCTTAATGCTATGGATCCAGTTCATAATGGCACCAAAAACTTACCTTCTTAAAAACACAACGGCATTTTACCTTCCTTATCAGCGTGATTCGACTAGATTTACTAGTAGGCTAAATTGGGCGAAAACACCTATAGTCGAGAACAATCCCAACCATCTTCACCAAACACTTAACCTGTCTAGTAATTTAAAATAATTTTCTTTCGTAATGAGCCAATTTTACAGGCTTAACACAATTCTAAAATGTTGATGTGCTCGTGAATTCTAATTAAAAAAACCGTTGTAGAAAGTTAGATATAAGTATGTTCCTATAAGTATAAGTATAAGTAGATAGAATCCTAGAAGAGTCTTACAAATTTCTAAAATATTCATTTCTCGGTTCATGAGATATTTCGATGCATTATTTACTTAGGCCATTTCCAAGAGCAAAATTTTCTTCACAGTTGAACATGTAAAGAACGCACATAGAAAAAATGTCTCTAACATTCTGGACAAAAGACTTGTCTTAGTTGTAAATTGAAGTCTGTACCAAAGAACCTTTTCTGCAACACTGCAGTCCTTCAAAAATACAGAAAAATGTGCCTTCACGAGAACCGGTAACGTCACTAGGTTTGTCTTAACGGTTTTGAAAGAGCTTTATGGCAACAAATTTAGCCATGTGTTAAATGTGTAGTAGCAGTGTCGAGTAGAGGAAATGACTTTTTGAAACTGTCGAGTTAAAAGTTAATTTCACGCTTTGGTTTCGCGAAACAATTTTTTATTATTAGGTTATCTGTTTAAACTTTATTGCTGTTTTCTACTTCACAAAGCTTATTGAACAGTCTAGTGTTATTTCAGAATAAATACTTTTCACAAGCATGACAACAGTTGATCGTAATGATCCTAGAAGCAGAGAGATATTCGTAGAAATAATTGGCGTTGAACGAGAGGTGCATGGATACGGAAGGCGCCTCTACCGTATACCTAACCTGGCGGCAAGAAAGTAATTTGTTTTAATCCGCCTAAGCCTAATAGCTACTCGCTTTGTCTTATGATGAAACGATACAATTTGTATTCGTTCATTATAACAACGTTTCTATCTTTATTCGAATGGTTTTGATCCTGGCTAAGAAGCCAAATATTACGCAGTTCTTTTAAACTTCGTTTAAAATTTTGGGAATGACAGTGTTTAATCCCGTAGGTACCTTAAAAGTGCTTTAATTGTGAAGTGTAACAGATTTTTAGATAACTCTTTACCAGAAAGTATATCCTGGCTTTCAGGGACTATATCATCTCTATGTTTAAGGTAGTTTATGGCTATAACTTAAGGTGAGCATTGAGCCAGCCTTATGAGATCTCATACATTGACTCGAATGGTAAAGAGGTCTACACTAATTAAAATACCAAAATATGACATGCTTCCTGCATTAGGCTTTCCTTTTAACACCGTATCTGTTATTACAATTTAAAGCACGGCTGCTTTGTTATTCAACCTCTTTGCAGTAATATTACGGTAGCAACGTTTTTCTGATAACATGGCATTTCCACGACAAAATTAAAGTGCATACTCTACAACGTTTTCTGACTTTAACTACCGTAGCGCTTACAGTAGTCCTTCGTCTACTGCGCTGTTTTCTTAAATTAATTTTGTAAAATTGTGCGTCCTCATGACCAGACTGATACAAAAATACAAAACCGACATAACCACTCCATCATTGCCAGTAGAGGTCCCACTAATACCGCTTATTCGCTCCTAAGCCAATATTCAGTTAAGCGATCAGTGTTAAAGATAATAAGTGAAAAAGGTTTATTACACTGCTAAAAATTTCGTTTAATCCAGCCTAAGAAAATAAAGCTCGTGCTGTTTATATTTTAATAGCCTTTTATTTTAAGAGAGGGGGGGAGGGGGAATTGCTTGCAGCTATCCACAAGAAAGAACAATTTTGATTTTCATACTCATTTAAGGAACACTTACAAAAACAAGCAATTTTGAAATGTGTCATATTTTCGTTCTATTTTATAGGGTACTATAGGAAAATTTTATTGTTCTACATTTTCATGTTTTCTTTTCCCCTTTGACAACAAGGCAATGAAACTCTGAAGTATCGACAGCAGAAGAGAAGTTGATCGAATATGATGTCCAAACAATTTCATTCATGAAAAAAAGCAGGTTTCATATTTCACTTGAATTCGACCCATTACTAAATTGCTATTGGTTGGTGTTAAAAACAAATACTGTTTTCTGTGCAAGATGAATCAGACGACGTACGTCCAGTAAATGTTCAGAGATTTTGATCATTCAACCATTTCATGTGATTGATCAAAGATTTCTGATTTCCTTTAACCTGGATAATTTGTGAGCCAAATAGCAACGCAACGGTACCGTTCAGCTAGTTACTTGGGGCTGATCAGCCAGTTTGCATACTTCTGAGTGGATGAAAATTCCCTGTGAAATCTCTGCCACCAATAAAGAAGTGTCGAGTTTTTTAGTCTACGAACTTCTCTTTAGCCTAGTTGTCAGTGGGCTTCTCATATTCTTCAGCAATTCGCTTGAACTTCACAATTTGTTGTGTTGACGTCGTTTAGAATTCTCTAGTTTAACTCAACTTATTTTTTTTCTTCTACCTAAAAGTCGGAAGGAGCAACGGCACAACAGATTATTTGAAATGTTGGATACTAAAAGTAAATTGAAGGAAAAAGACCAAATTGGTTTTGAAATTCTACTTCGGTGTTCGGCTAACGGTTCTGTTTTTGAGATTATTCTTTCCATTTTATTTAATATGCAACAATTTTGACTTGATGGAGTTAATCATAGTCAGTGAAATGTAACCGCTACTACTACGTTATTAAATATGCTTATCATTTTACACTATTCCACGATTTAACTTAAATTTTTGCCACTCCTATTAGTGGAAATTATATCAAGCAAGAAATTTAAACTATTTACTATTTAATTGTTGAGAACAGCATGTAGCGAAGTGGTTAAAAGTGTCCTCGAATAGTATAAGTTCCTTAGTAATCACTAGACAATAGCTGCTAGCCGCAGTCCCGAGCCCGAGCTTACCAAGCCTTCTATCTCTCTGGGATCAGAAAATTCATGCACGACTGGTCATTGGGGTTAGTAACACTGACTTAATAGCTCAGTAGGGCTCCGCAAGAGGTGTTGTTGGTTAGATATTTATTAAATATTATTTACTATTATTAAATTATTAATCAGCTCTACGATGTTTTAGAAGTCAAAAGCATTTCGCATACGGCATGAATTGATCAAAGCCAAATTACTCGAGCGACTTTCTATCAATCTCGGCATTGATAGCAATAGTTCACAAAGCCAAATGCAATAACGCTTTATCCTTATCACTTAGTCAGTCGTAGTGTAAGATTATTTCAAATATTCAAATTGACTTTTGGTTATTTGATAAAGATATACTGGTCAAGCGTATCCACATTATTCTCTGAAGAAGAATCCCGAGTGCCTTCCTTGAACACTCACCACCTTCTATGAGTCTTCCACTGAATATGTCACGTGGAGACCAACTGTAAAGAGCTCACATGGAAGCTTAATGTACCTCTCACGTTAAATTAACAGTCTTAAATAGTCTCCGATATCAAGCGTGATCATGAGGCTTTCCTCATAATCGTATAAAGAATTATTCGATCAATGCCGAGGTGAATAGAAAGTCGGTCGTGAGAATCCCGAATGTTCTTATCCCTCTAACAATGGAGCTCTTAACGGGGTACAGTAATAGCGGCATTTCACCAAAAAACGTTAACGAAAAGGTTTTTGGTAGCTATTTTAATAAATAGACAGCAAGCTTCCGAAAATGCTGCAAAAAACTCGAAATGTTTTTGTTGCAGTAGTTGGGTGAAAGAGGAGACTTCGACATCGGTTACAAGCCGCTTCTAAACGGAACAGTGATTTTTAGCGGAATTGGCTCCTAAGTCTGTGTTTACATCAATAGTTACAAAACAAGCTTTCTGAGGTTTTTTTTTGCTCGCGTAGGTCGCATTATTCAACTATCAAAAAAGCTAAATCTGGACATAAAATTTTTTTCGCTCGCGGTCACGTACGGTCTCAAGCGTGAAGGACGACAAAGTTCCTGAAGGGATATTGATGAACTTGACACAATAACTGTGACTTGTAGATTTGAAGAGCACTTCATAAGGCTAAAGCATTCGTTTCTATCTCATGGTTTGGTTTTGGTGAAAAAGTGAATTAATTTCATGAAAAAAGCCAAAGCCTTTGGTTAGTCGACGTTGAGCAGAATAATACTATTTCTTCTATAGAACCCGTCTTCACATCTACTGTGCGGATACCAGAACTTTTCACCCTCGATTCATTTACTCTCACCCATCATCCGTGCGGTTTTCCTCCTTCTACATAAGAATTCGGCTGCTGCATCACGTTTGTCATAATCATTGTAAATCTCGTTGAATACTGGTCCAGTCGATTTTCTCTGGAGTCTTGGCACTGCGCTAGAGCGTTCCCACTTGGATCACAGAGAGTGCCCTTTCCTAGAGAAGCCAACTTTCTGACCCCAGAGAGATGAAAGGCATGGCGTGCCGAAGAGTAGGCGAACCAACACTATGTCCGTGATGAACGGCCCCACTACCAATGCGGTATCCGTCTCCTCAGAAAGCATTGCAATGTGTAAAAACATCACAAAATTATTTAAGGAGAAAGCTACCCACTATTTCCTTAATGCTGCTAAATAAAGTCTTGCTTTTTGTTGAGTTTTTGGTGAGAACTTTCTTATTATTCCTATAATGAAATTTCAGCGAACTTGGAAATTTGGGCTTTCTCTAGTGAAAAATTTTTTCTAAGTAACTTTAACTTTGTCAGTTAAATTTTTTTCCAAGTTACTGATAAACTAAGCATTCTATAAAAACTATGGGAGACTATGAAATGACACCTAGCCCACCTATTTTTCACCAAAGCAGAACTTCGAAAAGTAACCATTTCCGGACATTTTCAATTTTATTCCACTTTAAAAATAGAACATGATGAACGATTGTTATAAGAAAGAATAAAGGGGCAACGGTAATGATTAATTTAGGTGAGATTCAGTATTACGGCTGAAAGTAGGTGCACCGTTGTTTTAAGAAAGCGTTCATATCAGGTGTGAAGAGCCTGGTAAAGAATATTCACTTGTCTAACCATCAACAAAGGTGCGGACGTGCGCAACACCGAGAACACATTTCTCTGGTCGAAATAGGCGTAGCTACTTGTTAGCTGTAGCTCGACTCGACTCTATTCTCGACTAGCATTCATTGCCGTTCTTTTCATATATTCCCACTGTTTCCATGGACTTGAGGCAATGGGGCTGCTTGTCAACCAGGTAGGTTCGCTTGATAAAATCAATCATGAGAATCTGACGAATGTCCTCCGGCATTCGCGATATTCTATTCGAGGCATTCTCGCGTTCTACATGCAAGTTTTGTATTCTCCAAATACGAAATCCACCTCGTTTTCACACGCTATTAACATATACTGGCCTGCATCACCTGACCTCAAAGCGTACACAGCAATAAGGAAATGACGACGTTTTCGACGGGTAAAGCAACAAATTTCTATCAACGATTTGTCACTGATGCAATCATTGATTTCGCCTGAGAGTTCCGTAAGCGTTCTCGAACAGCGAAAAAGGATTGACTCTGTCTCACAAAATGGAATGTTCCTAAGCGATGCTGCGAAAATTATACGTGTTCTTGTTAAACAAGCTCTTTATCAGATATCCTCTAACACGGTATAAACGTCCTGGTTAAAGTTAAGTCTTGTCTCGAACAAATTCAAACCAAAACGAAGAGTGGCGAGAACTTTACGAAGCTTTTTTACTGAAAAGTAAGTGACTGCTTAAAATTTTTTTAGCGAAGCTCGGAGACCTCATGAATATTCCTTATGTTTTTGTTTTTTGTGTATAAGTGACATTATGGCATCGATTGATCACTGAGGGAATCTAACTTGTTCTGTAAGTTAGGAGCACTTCAGCAGATCGCTCCGAGGTTTGCAATTTGCGCTGTATTTGCAGAATACCCAATTACGTTGTATTTTTGAAATAGAGATGTTTTACCATTTCGTGCTACCAACGACGAGAGTTTCTATCGCAGTTTAACATTTGGATAACATCTTTTTTTATTTCAATAGCTATTTCTCTTGTTTAGCCAAATCAAGTGAAATGATCTTCTCGTCGAGAATATGAGCAATCCTTGCCGGTTTAATACCACTTCACGTAAACCCTGATAAGAGGGTTTCTGAAATCTCGTAGTCCATAGTTCTTCCAACAAATAATCAAGAGAGTGATCAACATTTTCTTCTATACTACCTTTTCTTCGTTGTAATAGAGAGTAGATTCTTGAATGATCGAAAATCGTTCATCTAGATCAGCTCCGTACGTTCTATTATTCCTCGACGCACGATGCACTAATCAGATTGTACTGCATCCTAAATTTTCCATGGATCTTATTCATCACGTAGTCTGCAGTGACTAACAACAGTTCTTCCTTGAAGAAAAAAGTCGAATATATTTAAACCAAACTTTTTCATCAGCATTAGAATGAGCAACTGTGCATGTTTTCAATAGAATTACTAATTCGCTTCATTCCTTTTTGAATGTTAAGCATGGATCCTCGTAGTTTTCCGTGTATGCCACCGTATACACAAACACCGGATCAAATGCGAGAAGCGTCACGTCCAAGTGTCGTTCATCATACTCAGTTCGATCAAGTCGAACCCATATCCAATTCGAATTTCTTCCCGCAACTTCCTATCGCATCAGGTTAGCAACGGCTATATGAAAACTAATGATAAGTTATTAACTACTTTTCAACAAACATTACACGTTGTTCAGCATTCTGTGAAGGTCCCTGAGTGTTCCCTGTAGGTGCTACTTATATTATTCCAATTACTGATTCTTGAAGACTGCTTTTTAACCTGTTGTCAACAACGTCAAAATAATCAAAATTTGGAATGGTCAAAATTTTTTGTCTTACTGGTCATAACAGTGGAGAAAATAAAGCTATCCCACTTTTGCTATAACTACTAGATAACTGATCACGTAGAGTTAAAATGAAGTCATTTTTTTCACAGGATTTCCATTTCAAGAAATCGATCATCGTATCTATGATGGATCGACTAATGTACACCCACTAGCAACCGTCAGCCATACGGTAGCTCCGCCTCCAGTAATTCACACTGGAGACACGTTGAAGAATACTGAGCTGAAGCCTTTCACCAATTATCCAACGAGAGGGTTAGTCCGCCGGTAAAAGTGACAAATATCTGGTAACGGAAAGCCTCATGGCTCATTCACTCTTTTCTTATTATTTGCACAGTTTAATCAGAAATTATGACAAATGAATGGAAATATTTGGATTTATAGGACATAAAATTGCTGCATCATTTTTCCAACAAGAAAGTTTTCCATTATTTTCTTAGTGGTTTAGACCTTTCTTCATTTTAGGACCACATCTCGCTTTGAGAATCAAGAACCTTATAGAAGGAATTCGAAAGGGTCCGAATCTGAGTCATTTTTATGTCACATACATCAACTGGGAATTCTTTGAGTAATGTCTAATAGTCTATTCTGTTGCTGCTTAGTGTAAGAAGTCTGGTGGGAACAATTCAATGGATTTGCTGTATATTATATTATTCACGTAAACTTGCGCTTAAAAACAATGTAAGTACAGATTTTAAGGCGCAGTATGAAAATGTAGGGATTGTTAGTGGAAATTGAGAACGTTGATTTAGTTTAAACGGCACGGGTTCAGTGGAAACAATGACTAAGGGCAATCGTCAAGTTATCACTTAGCGGACTTTCTGGCTACTAACTGAAGTGGCAAAGATGAAGGGCTTGGAAAGGGTATTGCTGAGACGGTGAACTACGAAATAGAAATTGAATGCATCATTATAGTATTTATTCATACATAATGCAAAAATTAGTCCTTAGAAAAACTAGAGCGAGCAATTAAAAAGATTCTGGTAAAAGTTGAAAAGCTTTTCTCAGATATATGAGTTGAGACTTCTTTTACAGGTTTGCAGAAAGCGATTTCTCGTTATTCAACAGTTCGGTGTTTCAATATCCAGTTCCAAACATCGATGCCACTCAATTTTCGATGAAGAAGGGATCGAAGGCATATATACGGCATATTGTTTTCATTTGGAAACACCTTTGAGCTAAAGAATTAACTAAGAATTGTGATGATTTCAGGATGAATTTAGCCCATACTTCACACAAAGCATCTCCCATAATTATTCAAATCCGCCACCAATACAGATGGAAACTTTCGGCTTAGGAAAGCAAAGTGAGAAATCATGTAATACGACGCAAGACTGTCAGGTCTGTGCATTCGCTAATTAACAAAAACAAAATGCTTATTGTTCCAGTTTGAGATAAAATTCTATGTCGATGTTATTTTCACATTAACTCACCTTTAATTAATTCGGCAATATGCATGCTACACAGTAGTTAGGCGCTCTTGTAGGCAGTCCCTGCTTTGACCTCATTTTATGGGATAGGTTTCCATCTCTCCGAAAAAGGATAAACTGACACCAAATTTGTCTGGTGGGATATTGGAATTTCAAAATTAGTAGTTGCTCTCAGGTGATTTTTAAGGTCACATATGTACATGAGCACCCTCAGGATACTAGATGTAGTTAATTGCATGGTGTATTCCTTTGTTGATCACTGCCGAAGGCTCATCTGCTGTGAGTAACATAAGTGTGTGTGCGAAATCAAAAATCGAACTCTAAGTTAGGTGGAGTACCAGTTATTCTGATGATGTATGGCGATGAATATTCGCCTGAATTTGCACTGTGCAATTAACAAATTAGCCTTTGTTAATCGATTCGACTATATAGGTGTGCCATTCGACTCATGCGAATGGACTGCACTTCGGCGCGCGCACCTGTGCTGCTTGTGCGGCGTTCTTCAGACGAACCATTAGCGACGGAAAGAAGTACGTCTGCAAGAGAAGTCAACGATGTAACAACCCAAGCAAAGACGGTAAGATCAATATTTCTCACCGTGGAACGATCTCCCTATCGGAAACTTCTATGAAAATTAAGATATCTGTGTGATTTTTGTGAAAAGCAATGAATTTTTGCTCCAAATGAGACTTCTGCTGTATGAGGGAATGAAGCATTAGAAAGTAATGAAAACCTATAGTACTGCGACAATTTTTGAAAAAGGGAATGGTAATGTTGCCAAAATCTGGGAGATGATTTTGAGAAAAAATTCAATGCTTCGTGCTCAATTTCTTTTGAAATTCACTTTTCTAGCAACGGGATATCGTAAAATTTGCCGAAGCTGCCGTTTGAAGCGATGCATGGATATCGGGATGCTTCCAGATAGTGGGTTCAGTTACAGTCATCGATATGATTTTATACAGTCTTTGGGACCAGTGGATTTTGGCGGCGATTTGCTTTCGTATCTGTCTTTTAGATGTGCAGCAAAAACGTTCAAGACGGGACAGTCCACCAACTGCTGTACCAAAGACATTCAACACCATATTTCAGCCGTTTTACAATCACGTACAAGCTAATGGCACATCGTGCACTGTTTCATCGGTTTAGTGAAGCATACGACACTTTGTCTGTCTCCATGGGTCTGAGACTCGGATTATTGCAATTTCAATACCGGCTTCCAATTTGTGATACACTTTCTCATCAAATATTTGTGCTAATTTTTTTGTCTCGGATAATTTTTTGCTTCCCGCTGATAGATATCACAGTTCAGTCTCCACCAAATGAATACTGAATGAAGTTGTGTCCGAATTTCTCGTGTTTAGTACGATTCGCCTTGGTTGAACAAGCGTTCTGAAGTTGATTATGGCTGGGAAGTAATCAGTTTCCATAGAAACCAAATCGCGGAATAAAAAAGATTTAGAATGGTTAATCATTATGCATGATAATTTATCACAATATAGTAGCACCTCACGACATTTTCGTTGATTTCATTCTGCAGCTCTCGTTGAACTTGTGTTTTAACAGTGGCCGTGCAATATCGTATTTCGCTAAAACAATTCAGGTAAACTGACATTAAATTGGGAGCAGCAAAGTGGCTTCAAAACTATTTTCAAGGCAAGACCTGAAAATTTGAATTTAAAAAGGATAAAGCTTAGGGGTTGATCAATCCGTTGGGGATGCGCTAGGCAGTCGACTTCACTAAGCAACGTTTGGAGGTAATTGAATGCATTTCTGTCCATTACAATGACTCGCGGTGGCCTACCCATCTATGGAGCTAATTTTGCTATCCTCTCAGGCAAGCCTGGTACCAATTTGCTAACCCAGGAGAGATGGAAGGCTTCGTGGTCCAGTGGCGCGGGAATCGATCCCATGTGTATTGCAAGGCGCCTCCGATCACTGCGCCACACGCGCAAACTTTGAATTTATTGCTATAAAGTTTTGCAGAATTCACCTAAAGGTTTAATTTCGTATGTAAAAATGACTTTTTATTTTGATATGAAAATGTTGTAAGCATAAATACATTACTCATGAAGTCAGTTAAATCCATAACACGAGAACGCAGTGCAGATCGTGAAAGTCGTAAAAGCTCCATGAAAGTTTAAGAAGAGGATGACAAAACTGGAAATTTTTCAATATTTTTCTGAAAAGCGCTGTTTTTTCTGAAACAGTCGCGTTTTACTTTATTAATTCATACTTCAAGCGTAAATTGTAGTTACTGGGAACAAATGAGCAACTTCCTCATCTAAAAACGAGGCGAGTTTGTTTAAACACCTTCGAAAATGCTGTGAAGACTGTTAACAAACAGGAAAAGACACTTCATGGACTGGACTGAAACGATGAAAACTTCCTTCTTTGTAAGCCTGAGAATCTATTAATTTGTCAGCCAATCTAATGAAAAACATCTTCAGTTATAGGAGAACCAGCTTTTGTCATTGCTATAGTTAATATACTTTATATCACACTCTTTGTCGTAACTGTCTAGTCTGGCAGGGTCTTAGTCGGCAACTTTGTTAAAAAACACTTGTCCCTTCCTGGGTTATCAATTTTTTCACCTTTCGTAGCTATTTTTTGTCAACACTCCTTACAATATTATCTGCTGCTGTGCATTTTTGCATTTTACCACTGGTGTGTGTTTATTTATTGGGTAATGATACATACTTTCAAGTGGTTACTCCTACTTTCGAATTCGATCTGGTGTTGGTCTCGAGGCCTCGGCAGTATTCTGGAGGCCAACCATATCCAATTTTTTAGAACCACCCATCTTTAATAATATTTGTTCTCTCCTTGCTCATGTCTATTATTTTTCGCGAAGCGAAAGAAGAAGGAAACCTTTGGGGCCCCACTTACGTAAATGGAATCGATGCTATCCTGAAGAAAACAGAATCACCGTAAAATTAAGTTTCTTGGTGGGGGCAGCGAAACGCGGACGCTTGAAGTGATGGACAGCACTCTTCTTGCACAGATGCATTATATTCAGCCGTTATTTCCGTCATTATAGAGTAGGTCGGGTAGGTCCTCCACTAGTGCCATTACTAGCTTTTGCGTGTCACTCAAATTATTAACTTTATTTTTCTAATTGACTTGATTTTATCTACACTTTTTCTTTTCACTGACTGATAGGTATGATTATTTTTTCTCAGGATATTTTGAGCATTCTCGTTTCTGAAATCCACATTTAGTTGTGATTTAAACTGGTTAAACTACTTTCATCTCCTTTTCATAGTCATTCCATTTGTAAACCGCTGTTTTCGGGCAAAGTATTCTTTTCTGTGCCGTTTCGGATCAAAAACAATTGATTTCGTTTCCACGACTGACTTTCTGTTAAGCTTGGCATTCTTCAATAATTTACCATTTTCTTGATGAGCTGATAGGATATTTCTATTGCACTATTTAATCACAACAGCTGGCGATTAGGCGGATTTAGCTTTTCTTATAGGCTGGAATAGTCAAGTTGTTATAAAATCTAGTCAGTCTAATACTTCCTTAACCTCTGCGATGAAATCCTGAAACAAGTGCGAGTTCGGGTGTGGTGTACCTGATCTCTTATAAAGCGTGCGGAACAAATGCACTGGCAAAACGGGTGCCTTTATCCTATAAATAATCACTTAGTTGTCTGCTAAAAACGTATAGAAATTTAAAAAATCTGCAGGCAACACTCTTGAAGCACTTTGGATAAATTCTAAAAATCCAAATACGAACTGCAGAGAGGAGTACATTGCGGTCACACAATATCTCAGAGAGATATTTTGACGTAAGGGAGGCTCATTTTCCCTATCATCTGGACAATGTCCGAATAAATCATAAAGATGCCAAAACATGTGCAAAAATCGGAACCTCGGATGGGCTTCAAACGTGCGATTACCCATACCGGGAACACGTGCCCTCCGCTTCACCATCAAAGACCATCGTTTTGCCCTTTCCACATCTATGTTGACAGAATGCCGGGTGGTTGCTGATAGCACCGATAGAATGGGCTTTGGTGAGAGAAAGGCAAAGGGGTCTTGATTGGTATGATGGATAGCACATGAACCCAGTATAGGTAACCGCTGGCCGTAAGCTCGCCTGAGGTTCCGAGTTTTGCACACATCTCAGCAATCTTGTGGTTGTAGTTCACCCCATACCATGAAAAGAAGGATAAGCAGTAAATAAAAAGTTAAAGCAGTGAATGTTTAAAGAACGTGTTTTCAGGTTTACTGAGTTTTAGGCTTTGGGGATTTCTGTTAAGGTTATGGAAGTACGTGGCTCATTACATTATAACTAGATGCATATTAGCTTGATCTTTTCATGCTCTGGAGAGGGTGAAATCCACCGAAACATGGGCTATTGTTAATAGGTTGTCAAATAGCAACCTCGTGTCTGCTCATCAAGAAAACAGTAAACTGATTACGTGATGGGTCATTGCTGATGGCAGAGATCGATAGAACAACTTGATAGACGGGCGAAACGAAGGGACCGCATGGTGTGGTGGTTAACGCGTTACTCCCCGGAAAGGACAATAGCTCGTTCGTTCTCCATCGCATACACCTGCGGTCCGGCGTTTTGCCAATATCTCAGTATCATTGAAGTTATATTTCGCAAAATACCCTGCCATTAAAAAGAGTGGGCAGTAAATAAAAGCGGTTATGATTGCATGTTGTTTGCAAGTGGTTTAGCGTGCTCTTCATTTTTCGTAAATATTGGAGCTCTCCAGTGAGTAAAGGCGAATAGAATATGTGTTCCTTTTTAGAGAAAAATGAATTTTTAGGTTTATGCTTTCCTGTGCGTGTTGTATGTAAACCTCTTTGCCTTGTTGACGGGAAGACGACGTTATCGCCAATTTCTTTGCCTAGTGGCCAGCGCTATTGCCTGCATAGATTGCAGGTGGAGTGTGAATCGAGATGATTTTTGAGCTTAGACGAAGACGCTACCAAATATCCGACCACGCCAATAAGTGTTATGCAGCGTAAAAATTGTTTTTGTGCGTTTGCTATTTTCCATGTGTTTCGGGTTTAATCGGCTTTAATCATTCGGAAACATGTTTTGTTCTACGTTTGCATTTACATAATCTCAACCGTATGTCGAAGAGACTTGGTAGTCGAAAATCATGCCAGCTGTCGAAGATATGTCCAAGACGAATGGTGATTGCCATTTGACTGAGGTATGATTTCAACTGTCTGTTTAGTCTTGAAGTCAATCAAATATTCAATATTTTCGCTGATTCTGTTCTTCACTAGCAATAAATGTTTAGGATGTGGCAGATAAAACTGGCAGCAAGGTAGACGAAGAAGCCGTTATTGAAATTGGAGGACTGGTCAGACCTCCGATGAATCAGGTACTTCTTAATTTTGTTTGCATAGCGTTTACCTAATCTTGTTTTGTGAGAAGAACTTCATTTTGTTCGACCTACAGTTCCTTAAACTTTTTCGACAAATCGCTTTTATGGAAAACATATTTTTGCCACAGTATTCTCGTCTATCTCTAGTTGTCTGTGTCATGACATTTTTTTGAATTTGTGCTTTAACGAATTTCTATCCGAAGTTGTTACCGGGCTAGATCATCAGCGATACAGCCGTCTCAATAGCTATGAATCATCCTTTTAGGACAAACATCTGATTTTTGCAAGAACATAGCAGATATACTTGTTGGGTTATTGGAAGACAGTTCACTTCTAAGCTTGATTTTTTTTGATTCTGGAATTTAAATTCTAGTGGAGAGATATGTTAGTAGTCGAAGTGAGAAAAAATTTTCTACTTTGCTTTCGATCAGCTTCGGTGCTTATTTATGTTCTTTCTTACTGCGTCACTTTTTTTCACTTCCATTCCACCGACAGCTAATTCGTTGGACAACTGTTTTTAGGCCAGTGTTGGAAAGCACAATGTATAACTTTTATCTACCGCTTATTATTTCTTCACGGTAGGGTGCTGTGTAAAATATAACCACAATGATGCTCAGATATTTAAAAAACTTGGACCTCAGACCAGACTAAACCGCCATTACCCTTTACAGGTGATAACATGTTAAGCACTGCTCCACTGTGGCCGCCTGTCTGTCTTTCTCTCAATCAGTCCTTTTACACCAACGGTACCGTTGGCAATCACCCAGCGGAACGATTCACAGTAACTCTATGAACCATAGATGTGCACGAAACAATTTAGCAATCACTTTTGAAAACGGTCATCATGCTGCTGGCGGAAGGCGTACAATTTCTCACTCTATTCCAGAGTGACAATGAAGGTCACAATTTTCTTACAGTTGCGAAAATTTGAGTCACATATAGTTGGGAATGATTTAGTTCTTCAAACTAAAAGCAACCCATATCGTCTCACAAGGGATCCACTTAACAGGAATTCAATAAATCAAGTTATTTACTTGGATAAAGCTAATGCATTCTGTAGATTTTGACAGAACGATAAAAGTTCACTACTCTTCACTAAGTTCACTACGCTCTTTCTGTCAAGTTTTTTCTCTAGGGCTAGTATTGTTGTGCCTTATCACAGAAGCGGCAGTTTGTGAAAACTTTGCGCACCTTCGGAAGATCATGGCCAACTCTTTCTATAATTGCGTCAGGTCTTCAGTTGAATAGATATCGACAGGTTTCAAAAAGCGGTTAGCGTTGCGAAACTGCTAAATTAGTGGGGAATTAAAAACCTTCGTGTTCTTCGGTTAATTGATCAAACGACTACGAAACAATAGCTAGAGCTCTGTCTTCTGCATATTTCACTCTACTCTCGGTTTCAAAACCAGCAATTTCGAAAAATATCGAATTATTCAAGGATGAATTCGACAAGCGATTCTCCTACAAACTGCCAAGGGAAAGAGATGAATTTAAAAGGCGAACGCGTAAATTTCTTCGAAGGTACAAGTGATTTTTGTTAACACCTTCGATTTACTAACCTACTTATCTACAAGTATATTCGCGTGAAGGTCAGCAGCAACGAATTTGTGATTTCCAGCTACTACAAACCTTTCACTTCCTTGAAGCTCTTTAAATTATCACTGATTTCATTCATACCAATTATTCAATGGTTACCGCATTACAACTGGAAGGAGAATCTTTTGCCTGATGTTATTGGAGGATTGACAGTTGGTGTAATGCACGTCCCACAAGGTGGGTTGCTAGAGACATTCAGTTTGCTTTTGTAGTAAGACAGATTTCCATATAAGGCATCGCCTACGCACTACTAGCTAAGCAGGAGGCAGTAATCGGCTTGTACACGTCGATGTTTCCATCTTTGATATATATGGTTTTTGGTACTTCTCGACATAATTCAATCGGTACCTTTGAATAGTCACCACTCCATTTATTTTATTCAATATCGAAGTTACACGAAAATATTATGGCACAGGAACGTTCGCGGTCGTTTCGCTAATGACGGGACTAGCAGTGGATCGTTTGACACACGTGTCTGACTTTCCAGATCTTGAAGAATCTGAATCGAATGTCACTCTTAGTACTGACAACTTACCTACGTCAATAGAGGTTGCTTCTGCTCTCACCATTCTTGTCGGTGTTATCCAGGTAATCCATTTGATTTAATATACGCGTGTGTATTACCGATTTTAGGAAAGAAGCATTTCATCGATGTGACCTTGACTGGTTTATTATAGTTCTGCCTTGGAGTGTTACGACTGTCTTTCATCACCACATACTTCTCTGATCAGGTAGTCTCCGGGTTCACCACAGGAGCGTCATGCCACGTCTTCATCTCTCAACTGAAGGACGCTTTTGGTCTTCGTGGCATGCCCAGCAGATCGGGGCCCGGATACTTATTTCTGGTATCTTCGTTAATCATTCAAAAATAATTCTCGTCCGCCCTTGATGTAAAACATTGATAGAGTGAAATATAACAAGATATCTATCTGCTGAAAATAAAACATTCGAAATCCGAAACAGCTTGAAATGTCTGGTTTGCTATTTTCACTGGCAGATGAAGCCGTCTTACTTCCAACAACATTTTCAAAAGTTGAACACTTTTAGGTTCTTGTTTTTTTGGAAATTCGGTTTTCGGACTAATTCAAAGCGCAATGAAACTCTAGCAGAAACGCACTTTGCCAAAAGCGATTAGGCAGCTTGTTTCACATGTGTTTTCTTCTATAAGCACCTCAATTTCTTAAATGCTCTGTAGTTGTCAAGAAAATCAACGCTCGTAAGAAATCCACTATACCACGAATGTGTGGCGATGTCTTAATGTCGGGGTATTTTCCGGAATGCTGTAGTTAGAGCTATGTTATTCAGCTTGAACTTGCATCGATGCTAGAAATCTACTGAATAACTTCAAAAAAACAAAAGAAATCCGATAAAATTATCGAACAATTTTGGCAATTTATTTATATGATCTTATAAACTGGTCTCCTTCAGCTGATGCGAGGTTAGTATAGATCTTCGCTGTCGTTGTTGTTGGTGTTGTTGGTCGATGGCTGACGTTTCGGCGATTTCGCCTTCCTCAGAGCCATGATGTTACGAGTGGGACTCGTCATATCTCATAAATCCTTTACTGATAATCGCGTCGAAATTGGGTATTTCCCATGCAACGGTTATGTCAGGAAAAATCTGTGACGGGTTATAAAAAGCCACTAAAAACATGGGTGGCGCGCATCAAACCATGGTGGCCAAATTTCCTGCAATTTAGCATTTTCAAGGAACTTGCATAAGTAAATGAGCTATGAAAATTGTCATACATGTGCTTGAATCAATTGCTAAAAAACGAAAACAATTCTACGATGACTTGTGTCGTTTTTAAGTCGCTTGGGAGCTTACGCAAGAGTGCTTTGTGGAAATTTTCGACTTCTCTTAAATACCAGTGCACTTCATATCTACCGAAGGCCAGTGGTAGAATAGCTGACTCGGCTACCGATTAGATCCATAGGAGTTTTACAACTTATACAGCGATTGTTTACTGTGATTTTTTTGTAGTTGCATACTACAAGCAAAGTTGCATCACCAACAATGTGTAGAACTGTGTCAAATTTGGATATTGTCGTTAGAAAATGAAATCTGTCAAGTTATAAGTGTCACCGTCAAGAGGCTAAATTTTTGACCCACTCGATAGTGATTCAAACAGATAACAACCTTAATTTAGAAACTTTATGACATAGCTGCAAATTTCAATCGAATTAACTGGGCAGCCGTTGTCACATCCGTCATTTCCATTGCGTTCTTAGTCATCGGAAAGGATCACATAAATCCTCTTGTGAAGAGGAAATTTAAAACGTCTATTCCTCTTCCATTCGAGCTTATATTGGTGAGTTGGCAGCACGAGAACGGGCAAGCTGGCGTTTCTTCGGCGTTTCTTCAAATGCATGAAATTGTAATAAAATCGCGAATTTGGAAACTTTTAGGTGGTTGCAGGAACAATGGTCTCGTACTTATTAGACATGAATCGTATTTATAACGTGAGAATCGTTCACCACATTCCTACAGGGTAATTAGTATTTCGTACCAGTTATTCGTTTTATGGAATGAGCCTCCGATTTTATTTCTATCTCATTACCGTGTTTAACAAACACCTTTGTGCAGCTTTTTGAGGATGTTTTAAATCGATGCAAATAAAACATCCGAAAGGTTACAGAACTTAAGTTATGCCGCTTTCAGCCTTCCTGGAGTTTCATGGCCTCGGTTTTCCTTGATGTCGGACTTGATTCCTAATGGCTTGGGTATTTCCGTGGTTGTCCTAGCCGTCCACATTTCATTAGCAAAAATGTTTGCGAAGAAACTTAACTACGAAGTTGACCCTGGGCAGGTATGTTGTGTGTTTCGGTAAAGAAGAAAATTCTTTGGGTTATTAAACTTATCATCGAGTTTCCTACGCCATGCAAAAATGCGACAGCATTAACGCAATATACGAGTATTCTCATCAAGTAGGAAAATTATTCGAGATCATTATTCGAAGGGAATCCTCAGGAGTTAAGGAGATGTACGCAATGGGTTTGGCATCTATTGGAAGTGGATTTTTTCCGGTAATGCCTAGCGCCTGCTCTCTCGGAAGAACAATCGTTAGTGTGGAAAGTGGAACAAGAACACAGGTAAACAGAAAGAAATGTGAAAGTAAGCAAGAGTTGAGAAATTTTTCTATTTATAAAAAGCCAAACTCTGTATTCTACGCCTTTCTTAAAACCTGTCTTGGAAGGAAATTCAAATTTTTCTATTTATAAAAAGCCAAACTCTGTATTCTACGCCTTTCTTAAAACCTGTCTTGGAAGGAAATTCAATTTCTTAGTTTTCTGGTAGATTTGCTTTTCTCTCGATGCTCTGTCACCTCACAGCGACGAAAAAGCCTTAGATGGCGAATTGTGACACCGAATGGAAATTCCGTTTTCTAACAGACTCAGCGCAGCTGGCAGTCAGCTCGATATTTCCATCCCCAAGTCTCGATAGAAGCAAACCAATACGAAAAATCACAGTTGATTAGAAATAAGTCTGTTTGCGAGGTCGTTCAAAACCTGAGAGCTTGGTTATTAGTGGCGACTTGGGAAACGCGGGTCCGGTTACGTCGAAACAGCAGAGAATAATTCTTGCCGACCATACCATTCCAGCTCAATATTGAATGAGTTGAGGAACGCGCAATTCATCACGAGGATGGACTTTGCATACATCTGAGAGTGACGTTGCAGTAACTCATTCTTCTTTGTACAGAACTTTCTTAAATAGCTATTTTTGGTACGTATATAAGGTCTAAGCTCCAAGCCCTTTTTTTGTTCAACTAGTTATCATTCCACCGTCATATTCGAAGGAGTTTTACACACACTTCAAAGTATTTCAGCTCTCAACTGTCTTTTCGATTATCCTTCTCATTTCTGTTATTGCATACTTTGGAAAACTACTGGAGACCTTGCCTATGGTTAGTGATCGACAAAAAACTTAAGACATCTTAAAACAATCATTCCTGTTTCTCAAATGCAACGGTCGTTTGCAGTGTATCCTGTCAGCGATTGTCATTGTGGCGTTGAAGGGAATGCTGAACAAATTTAAGGAGCTTCGAACGCTGTGGCCCTTATCGAAGATAGATTTTGTATGTGCTAAATATATGACTCAAAAATTCAAAATTAATTTAACATTTTTATTTGCAATAGCATTCCGGCTACTTAAACCAGCCCTTCTTCTAAATATAATTTAAAAGCTAGAAAAATGACAAAATGATAATTGAATGACCGAATTCGCTCGATCGTATGATGTTGTTTTCAACACTCCTACGATGAGTTACACCTTTACCTGTCATAATGGTTTCAGGAGAGTGGTCGCCTTAACACTTACAGACCATATTTTCTTCCCGTTGATTTCTTACAACATGCAGAGCTACCTTCCTACAGGTTTGCTATCAGTTGACGGCTTGCAGAAGGCAGATGTTATGTCGGGCTCTTGACGGGAAAAACTCTATCACTTGGAAACAAACAAACAATTTACACGCTTCATCACTATGGATATAATATGACCCCCTTATATTATTCAAACATTAAACTATGTTACTACAGTGTGCAGACCTAAAAAACACTGGCTAGAGGTAGAACTAGCTGAGAGACAGGCGAAACGAAAGGCCCGCATGGTGTGGTGGTGAACGCGTTACTCCCCGGAAAGGACAATAGCGCGTTCATTCCCCACCGCAGACACTTGCGGTCCCGAGTTTTGCAAATATCTCAGCATTATAGTAGTTATATTTCAGCATTATGTATAAAAGTAGCTCTGTGTGTTAAAAGGAATCAACCAATTCACTTTCTATTATCAGCGATCCTCCCAATGGTTTACCGCCTCATCGTGGCTGGGAAGTGTTCCTGTGGTGTGAGACTGCGATGTACAACGAGAGGATTCGTCCCCTCGACAAGGTCTCACAAATTGAGGAGTCCTGCATTTCCATCGGGAAGCCTGGCTAAGAGTAAACCAATACCAGGATACATCACCGTTCTGATATCAAAGTCGCACGGTGGCAATCTCCTTCCGATCCACAAAGGATGCGACTGCCTATGGTAGTGAAAACTTAGGGCAGACTTTAGCCTGGCCGACCTCGGGACTTTAATGAACCACAAAGGCTTAACCAGCAATTCTCCGAAAAATGGTGATTATGCTGGGGCTCGCACAATAAGTGAGGTGGGGCCGTTCAACTATCAAGTAAGTAAGCGTATTTGTCCACCATTGTCTCATTGACACACTCAAATATGGAGGTAAAACTCGGTTCTATGGTCCTCCGGCGCTTTGAGTCGTTTCATAAAGAGTGGAACACCTTGAAAGAAGCAGAAGGGGTAAAGCTTTCGGTGTTGATCAATTCCTAAAGGATGCGTCATGCATCCGACTTAATTAAGCATCGTTTGGAGGTGATCAAATGCATATCTGACCTTAACAATGACTCGCGGCTGCCTATAGATGTATCGAGCCAGTGCTGCTATCCTCCCAGGCAAGTCTGCTGCCAATTTGATTTGCTCACCCCGAAGTGATGAAAAGCTTGGCGGGCCAGTGGCGCGAAGGTCGATCTCATGTGTATTTCAGGGACCTGTATTTGTGTATTTTTCCGACCATTCCTCCACATGCCTTTTTTTTAAATGAGTACCATTACTAAATTACCACACACTAGCCAAATAATGACAATTTTCTGTCGATCTATGTTTATTGAGCTTAGTTCTGTTGAAGTCAATCTTTAAGCTGAGGCAAGCAACCAAGCGCATTTTTCAAAGCCGATTTTCACTTCACCTTGGTATGAAGATACAAACGTCTCGTTTTATTGAAAAAACTTTGTTGTTACTGAGCAGCCTTTATAATTTTTGCACTATACTTTCCTAAAAAATATCTTCACTATTTTTTCCTTCAGAGCATCTGGATTGTGAGTTTTCTTGCGACGATGTGCATTGACGTCACAGAGGGATTGGCTATATCCATACTTTTCGCCCTCTTCACTACAATTATAAGAGAACAGTGGTTCGATATTCACACGTTACACATACGTTTTCTTTCCTTTTTTATGCTGTACACTATACGGCATCACATATTGTCCAGATCAATCCTATTCCTTCTATTATACTGGTTTCCCGTCTTCCATCATCCACAAAGCTCCCTGGCTTTGTGTGGTAGGTCCAGCCGCTGGGTGAGAAAATTTTACCTTCTTTGCGAATGTCGTTGATTCACTGTTTTCTTTTGGTGAGCAAAATTGAGACGTAATTCATTCAGCCAAACGCTTCATAAAGCCAGCATACAAAGTTTAATGGATAAATTTTCATCCCCTAACAAACAGCTTCTTTCAAACATTCACCCTGTCACGAAATGGATGGCAGTTAACGAATTCGCCTTTTTGAGGAATCACTGTCCCTTCATTTACGCGATTGGAATGACCTGCTTTCTAGACTGTGCTGTGACTTGCAACAAGAATGGGTTCTCTAGAGCATTGGCCGACAGAAATGCAGCAATCCTTCTCCACAGCAACGCGCATCCAAATGTTGCACTATCGATGCTGCAGGAATTAAACGAGCTGGGCTACGAAACTCTGCCTCATGCCATCCCTCGCCACACCTCTCGTTTACAGACTACAACTAGGTTCAGGCATCTCAATAAATTTCTTTATAAGAAGTTTTTCAAAAATCAAGTCGAGACCGGAGCTCTCAAAGACTTGATCACGTAGGGAAAGTTCGGATTCTTATGCAGCTAGATCAAAGATTTTCGAAGTCGAATGGTTATTATTCCGAGTTATGAAGTTTTTTTTAGGACTTAGATATTTGACTTTGAAAATAAAGGTTAGCATAGCATATTCGGTTTTGGAGCACGCAATATTTGTCAATAAACAAGTTGGCGGTTAACTACTAATTTTTCAGAAATTTAATGGAGCATTTCACTTCTAAGCTTTTCTTTTTAAAATACAATGTTTTACTTTACGGTGTAAGCATCATAATTGCTAAAACTCAATGTAAATTAAGAATACTTTCTAAGAAAATAGCGACGACTGGGAATTGAAGAGGCACTTAAGATCTGGCTTGGAGTCACCAAGAACTGCACACTTGGGAAAGAGTTTGCAGGGATAACATGAAAATCGAACAGCATTAGATATGATAACGAGTCGTTTTTAGGCTTTTCGGTCCTCTCCATCTGACGGTAAACCTTCAGAGCATCAGATGGTTGAGACGTGTTGCAAAAATGACAAGCTCTTACTCTCCTTGGCAAATAATTTTTTACAGCGGAGACAAACTGGTTAATAGTAATTTAAAGAACCGACTTTTATAATTTGGCATAAATAGTTCATACCTTTCTTTACACGTTCTAATAAACTGATTTTGTTGAGACGCCGAAACGTCAGTTATCGACCAACACCACAGTCAACAACGAGAACCAAAACCTGTACCAACCTCGCATCAGCTCAACAAGATCAGCTTATTAGGACATATAAATTAGTATATTACCGGTTCTCACTTTCTAAATCCGACATGCCATTTCATGGGTGAAAAATCGAACAGCACCAAGTCCGGACAGGATAAGACCAGAACACCTGAAGAACCTCTTCCGCCAGTCCTCGTAAACACACTGGCTCAGCTCCTCACACGTTACCTGTCTGAATGCAAGGTCCCTACACAGTAAAGACCGGCAAGACCGTGTTATTGTTCAAGAAGAGAGATCTGGACGATATTGGCAACTATCACCCAATCTACTTACTGTCTGTTGTCTGCAAACTTTTCACTCGAGTCATCCTAAAGAGAATTGCAGAACACTAGACGAAGGACAGCTATGTGAGCAAGCAGAGTTTCAAACAGTATTTAGTGCAATGGACCACATCCACACGCAGCAAGGCTCATTGAAGTATCGCGAGAGTACAAAAGACAGCTCTGTCTCACTTTCATCGATTTACAGAAGGCCTTTAATTCAGTTCAGATAGAAGCAGTTTTGGAAGCCCTTGACAGTCAAGGAGTCCCTACTCAGTACATAAAGATTCTTCGTGAACTGTACGAAAATTTCACAGCCAAGATATCACCATTCTACAACGATATTATCATTGACGTCAGAAAAGGAGTTAGGCAAGGCGATACCATCTCGTCAAAATTATTTACCGCCACACTCCAGAACGTCATGCGAACATTGGAAAGGGTTAATATGGGAATGAAAATCGACGGTCGGCAGTTACACCATCTTCTCTTTGCTGATGACATCGTCCTTATAACACCAAACATTAGCCAAGCGGAACGTATGCTTGACGACTTTGATAAAGCCTGTGGAAAGTTTGGTCTTCGACTAAATCTCAGAAAAACGATGTTCATGAAGAACGGATTGGTTTCGCACGCCCCATTCACGCTCAACGGAACGAATGTCTCCAAATGCTCCAGTTATGTCTGTATCGGCTGGAATATCAGCATGTTAAGCGACTTAGCTCCAGAGTTGAGCAGGAGGAAACGAGCGGCTTGCTAAGCTTTCAAGAGCATCGAGGATGTAGTGAAGAGAACAAAGAACACCCGACTCCGTGCCCACCTTTTCGACTCAACGGTATTTTCTGCCCTGACGTGTGCGTCAGAAACCTGGTCGCTGCGTAAGTAGGATGAAAGGTCACTCAGCATTATCTGACTTGCGTCAGCGAACATCAACAGCGCCGTTCAGTACGTCAAACTGTCGAAGATAAGGTGGGCCGGAAACGTAATGCGTATGAATGACAACCGATGGACAAGAGCCGTTAGTGACTGGATTCCTCGTGATGTCAAACGTACTGCAGGATGACCACTGACCAGATGGTCAAAGTTCTTCACAGAGATCCTTGAAGAAAGATATGGTACTCAACGAGTTCCTAGAGCGCAACAGGGAGAAATGGAAAATTTACTGGCGCCCGCTCGAGTCATTCGACGACCGACGGGACTACAGGTGATACAGGTGAAATCAATATATTGACCAAAAGTAGTTTCCCCAAAGTAGAGCAGTCCATTTGGAAGTGCCTAGACTATGCGACAGTGTCTTGAGCGACTTGAGGATGGAGAGGAGATCGAACAAATCACTTTTATTAAATCACTTTTTTTAAAACAATAAACAGGAAAAGTGTGTTCAGGCCTCGTTGGCACTTACTGGGCAACGTCAGTGGTACCAGTGACTTCAGAGATTTCGAAAAATACGATGATGTGTATTTCTTCAAGGTGGTTTTCACTCATTTAAATTGAAACCATTTCGTGTAAAGTGATTTCTCTATTTAAGGGAATTTGCATGTTCCGATTCGACTCGCCGCTACTTTTTACCAATGTAGAAACGTGAGAACATTGATCTATAGTAATTCACATGTTGTGATATTAATTCACCAGCATGTTGTGGTGGTGAACGCGTTACTCCCCAGAAGGACAACAGCGTGTTCGTTCCCCACCGCAGACACCTGCGGTCCAGAGTTTTGCAAATATCTAAGCATCATTAAAAGTTATATTTCGTAGCATACCCTTCCATTAAACAAGAATAGGCAATAAATAGAGAGATTGAGATTGTGATTATAGCTATAGCCTCAGCTTAACTGGGTTCAATGCAGATTTAGGCTCCCAGATCAATCTCGCTGGCGGGTGATTGCTGATGGCAAAAGATCGGTAGAACTAGCTGAGAGACAGGCGAAACGAAGGACCCGCATGGTGTGGTGATGAACGCGTTACTCCCCGGAAAGGAAAATAGCGCGTTCGTTCCCCACCGCAGACACCTGCGGTCCGGAGTTTTGCAGGTATCTCTGCAACATTAAAAGTTATATTAATTCAGTTTAAACATATGTGTAACATCAGTGCCAGTGCAAACATCAGTTAACACATCAGTGTGTAACAGTGACTGTTTAACTGTTTAACATCAGTGCAAAACTTCCACTCTCACGTTTTTTTTCGCTGGTAACTGACGAAGTCTTACTGCTTAGTCACAATGAACTCGGCAACAGCTCCGTGTAATTTTTCCAACGAATCACTATATTGAAAACTTATGTTCCGAAGTTATTTCTAAGTAGGCATGAAAATGTTGTTTCGCTATTAACCAGCTAATCATATTTCCACCACCATGGGAGGCGTTCTTTCTGTGAAAACAGATCATATCAAATAGTGGTAGATCAAGAACTGTGCTTTACATCTTCATAGAACTGCATCAAAATGAGGGAATCACACAGTTTTTGTCGAAATCCACATTGAACTTTATCTCTCCCACGCTTCTTAATGGCTGTATTCAGTTTCGTACATTTCTACAATCTTCTCAAAATGGTTGCAAATTAGTAAAACGCGATAATTTATAACGACGGTTTTTACTAGGTTCAAACGTAGCGTCAACAAAGCGTTTAACGGATGGGAGCGCTCACAAGAATTCTATGTCCTTAGAACTGAACAATCTGGTCGACCTAACGATGCTTCTAATAAAATCGATGCTGACGATTCAATAGCTGGTATAAATAATTGCAGTAAGGTAATGTTCTCCCGTTTTCTCAACTATCTTTTGTTTCGATATTTTTCTTCAATAAGCAGACACGAGGTTGTTATTATAGAATTTATTAGTCCTCGCCCACTTCTGTTCCCACTGTATTACTCTGTGCGGCCGCTATCCACCAACTAACTTAAATACTTACAACAATGAAGCGGCTCTGAAGAAGACGAAACCGCCGAAACATCAGCTATTGTATCCTAATAAATCCTATAATAACAACCTCGTGTCTGCTTATTGAAAAAAAACATGGAATTATCAATCAATGCCGAGGTTAACAGAAAGTCGGTCGTAGGAATTATCTTTTGTTTATTAATTCACATTAGCTGGCTTTTCTCGAAAATGTTTTATAACGTAATCAGCCTGTAAAGGCTTCGATGAAAAGGATAATGGAAGTCGTAACGACCATGGCAAAATTTGCCCAAGTTTTAAAAATTGCCTAGTTCCAAGGTGAAATCATGTAAAACATACCATAGTTTTTATGTACATCGCAGATTTTTTCTGTTCTTCTATATTTTTTTAGCATTAGGTTTTTTGCATGTACAGGACCTTCGTAAAACACTAATCGTGTGGGGTTTCAGCTGATACCTCTCCAAGACAAAATATATATATACCGTAACCAAAATAGTAATTGTACCAAAGATTCAACTAAAATTAACCTTTCAATTTACCGGAAAGCTCTATGTTTTTTTTTGATGAACTTACATAAAGCAACATAAGATCGTCTCGAAATCACCAGCCTTTTGACGGATTACAGCCTCTTTAAAGCAGAAAAGTCGTTGCCCAATGCGCTAACGGTGGGAGTGGTGTTCTACAAATTGTACAAGAAATTTAGAATCTAGGTTTCACTTTGATTGTAAACGTGCTGACAGACGTCCATCGTTTTTTACTACTTTTTAAGAAGTAAGACTTTTTGCGCAGTGCTTGAAAAGAAATGATCTCTTCTCTTTCAAAAAAAAATTCTAGGCAAGCCTCTTGTAATTGTTGGGTATAAGTCCACGTGATTCATTTTTCGGATTCCGTGGCTGGTCCAAAACGCCTCATAAGTGCCACGAGATGATGTTCGTGATCACTGTGTTACGTTCGCGAAATCATCTTCAAAGGTTTCGCTATTTTGCTTACTTACCCGGATATTTTGAAGGCCCATTTTCACAAATTGTGCGGACTGTAGCATATTTTCCGTCCGTTTCTTTGTGTAGTCTCTACGGTGGTGGTTTGATAGAAGCATGGTGGCGGGTACAAGGCTCATATCATGATGGTAAAATAGCTGCAGATTACAAAGGCGTCTGCATAAGGTGTGGGCGGTGTCTTAAGGAACGCTTGCATCCTCGTGGAGTTCACTTCACTCTTCAGTTCTTTTCGCCAATCTGTCATCTGTTCTTCTCATTATTTGCCCGGCCTATCTGTCCCTGTTTCGTTATCAACATCTGTTGCTCTGGGTCTCGAAGAAGACGTAGCTTTTGAGAATCAGAGTTTCGTATTTCGCATAGATGTTGTTCACGCCGATTTTATGTAATGGGATATTATTGAAGTGCTCTGTGGTCTGCTGCACCAGAGGGCGCTAGAAGGACTGTTGAATCGAGAAGGTGGCAAGATACTCGTGACTCGTGAATATAATTGGCCATTACGCTCAGAGCTCAGCAAGCTGTACTCGTCTATCAAATGCTAAGCACATTAAAATAAGTAGACGTCATATCTTTGACCCCGAAAAAGCCTCCGATTTGATAGCGTTGGATAAGGCGAGTACAGAGAAGCTGCTAAAATCTCTATGCCATAAATCGCAAAAGACTATCGTCTCGACTTGCACCTACAATGCACGCACACTTGTATCTGAGTCCTCGACAAAGGACTTGATCATATAAGCAAAAAAGATAAGTTACGACGTCATTGGACTGGCTCAAAAGCTAAGATAACGTTCGTTCCACGCCGTTTATAGTACACCAGAAGAACTGTTCACTGGAACATGCAATAATAGAGGAGTCGTCTACGTCCGCATTCTCCACAACACGAGTTCGGCCATGAGCGTCGATTTACTCGAGCAACTATCAATTCAAATCGCACGTTTGCGACTGAAGAGTTGTGGATTAATACCGGCTATGACAATCCTCGTCCTTATACACCAACATCGAGTTATTACCAAGAAGTAGTGAAAGCGTTTCGTATGGATGTGGAAGAGTTCTACAGGGAAGAGCATACATTTTTAAAAGTTACTACTTGAGAACCTTTTCATTTACTGCCTGTTCTTTTTTAATGGCAGGGCATTGCGTGAAATATAAGCATAACGATGCCGAGATATTGGCAAAACGACGGACCACAGATGCCTGCGGTGGTGAACGAACCCTTTATTACTTTTCCGAAGGCTAACGTGTTCGCCACTGCACTATGCTGGTCTTTCGTTTTTCCTTCTCTGAGCAATGGTTTAAACTAAAGGTGCTATAACGGCAATCACCTGTCAACAGCATCGATCTGGGGGACACAGCCCGGCATTGAACCCAGGTAAGTTGGTGCTGTAAGTCACAATGTAGCAGTTTTTTATTTACTCCCTATCCCTTTTTTCCTTTCTTTTAGATCTCCAGATCAATCCTCAGATCAGTTTTGCTGATGTGTTATTGGTGATAGCACTTGCGGTTGAAAACACGACTGAGGGGAACGCGAAACTAAGAAACCGCATGGTGTAGTGATGAAGACGTTAACCCCCGAAAAGAGTAATGGCGGGTTCGCTTCCCACTGCAGATGCCTGTAGTTTAGAATTTTGCAAACATCTTTGGAAAACACTGACATTTGCCTTAGAAGAACGACTGGAGGAGGTCACATTGTGACCCATGAATTAGAATGAAACGATCGGAATAAGTGGCCATCGGAGTTGATCATTGGGACCAAGACAGTTAATGGTAATTCGAGATTCCAGAAACGCCACTCTCTATGAAAGATGTGAGAATCTTCTGACGAAGAATATCATTACGAAATAGACTGCGTCACGATAGGTTGGAGGTTCTTCCTAACCGATGTCACCTTTGCACAGTAGTCTGATGATGCGATGTTGCCCTAAAGTTCAACATCGCATCATCAGATTATTGTGCAAAGGTTTTACTTCATTTCGTACAGAAAGGAAACAAAACTGCAAATTTCAGCAAACAAAGATCGAAAACCACAAGTGTTTTTGTAGTTTGTTGATCCGAGAAGGATTCCGCTATTGTTAACAACGGCGAAGACTACAGTTGGCTAATTCAACATATTCGCGTCCTCGATATAAAAGCTGAGTGTTGGAAAGTCTCCATGTTTCGGCTGTCTCCAGAAACACTCTGGCTGACATGTCAGCTTGGAACCTCACGAGCTACAGGCAACCGCGAACTCGCATCCGAACCGGGCAATAATGTAGACAGACGATAAAAGAAGATCTTAAAGACTGAAGAGCAGCAGTCATGGTGGAAGATGCAGAGGCTTGGAAAAGTGTTCGAAAGGCCAGTGATGCTTTGCCAATTGCAAAACCAAAATTATTGCACTCCCACCCCCAGACAGGACAGCTACAGCGTCCAAAAATGCAATGGAAAAAATCATTCACAATTACTACTCAAATCTCTTCAATAGCGACGTCCACCTTTCGTCGTATGAAACAATGTTGGACCACCGGTTCTCCATTCCGAAATCCGACACGCTCTTTCGTCGGTGGAAAATCGAACAACACAATATCCGGACAAGATAACATCTGGACATCTGAAGGAGCTTCCGTCAGTCCTCACAAACAATCTGGCTTGGCTCCCCACATTTCCTTTGAAAACGCAGTTCCTATTCAACCGAAGACTAGTGAGACTGTGTTATTGCTCAAAAACAATGGCCACCACAATTTAGGCAATTATTGCCCAAGCTCCTTATTGACTGTCTTCTACAAACTCTTCAGCCGAGTCGTCTTAAAAAGGTTTGAGAAAACACTGGACAAAGATTAGCCATGCGAGCGAGTAATGATCTTAAAGAGATTCAATGCCATGGACAACAT